GGAGCGGATGAAGGAGTGAAGCGGGAATGAGGGAGTATATATACGCCCAGCACGGCGGCTGACACAGGGATGAATTTCCCAAATATGGAAAGTGGTAGGGGGTGTAAGGCGTCATCAAAGTTATGCTGGATACTCAGGCTCATGAGAGATCTATATGACACAATTCAGTATCGCACAAAGTTGGGAAGCACATACAGCCGCAGCTGATTAAGATTTCTACTGATTTATTCTCTGAGAGTTATATGGCATAGCAGTCGGCATTTTGGGGTGACTTATCAAAGTTCAGAATGACATGTCGATGGACGCGGAGTCATTTGGCTATATGTACTCAGCGGATAAGCTTGAAATTGCTCAACGTGTTCAAAGACGCTGGATGCGTCGGTCACATGATATAAACCTTCTGATCCTAACAGCGCCAAACAAGCAGGCATCAAGTCGTTTTATAAGTCGGACCGTGCTCGTTTTACATATCTGACACTTGCATAGATCTTCGCGTTTTCATAAACATACGCGCGGCGTTGAGATTCCCCTTATATCGTTTCCCCATCATCCGTTCCTTCAGCCACAGCTTCAGTCACCCACCTCCCTTAATCTCACCAGGTTTGGTCTCGTTCTTCGTGTCCTGCGCTTAGAGGGTCTGTCCCTGCGTTGAAGTGGCAAGATATTAATGGGATAGTAATAAGAAGTGAGAGAGAAATAACAAATAAACAAATAGTCCCATTGATGTAAGAAACACCATCCTGCAAAGTGTTTTTGGGTACTACTGCCCATTTTGAGATCGTGCCGTCGTAATGATTTCCACTGAGGATCTGTTCACCGTCCAGGGAGAAAGCGACACATGCTGCTGATTCTTGGAAAATGGCAACGGATTGTCGAGAGCTGCCAGAGCTGAAGGGCGGAATTTGCGCCGGAAGCAACGAGTGTGCCAGCATGATCAACGGCGAGGGCGGCATTGATGCCTATGTCGTATGTAAAGCCCGTCCAGCCTGGATAGCCAACTCCCTTCCAGGTCAATGCATCCCACTCACGTACGGTGGCATCAAGGCCTCCTGAAAGAAGGCGCGTGCCACTGTGCCATCGGGCGTCCACGTGAGTAAGTAGTTCCATCTCCTGTGAGCCTTGAAGGATGTGACGCGTTCCTTCGTACTTAAATTATATATAAATTGTGATCTTGTCCGATGTCGCAATGGCAAGAAGTTCACCAGACGGTGAATAGCCAATGCAGTGGATATAACTACCATCGACCTCGATTGCATTTCCTTGCTGCTCCCAGGTTTTTGTACTCCAGAACTTCGTCGTAAAGTCCCATGAACCACTTGCCAGTATTGATACATCGGGAGAAAAGTCCAAAGAGGCGAGTGGACGGGTGGGCTTTCATGGGTTGGATAAGGGATTCACCAGTTTCTCCGTTCCAAGCGATGAGCACTCCTTCGTCATCACCGCTTGCGATTGATTGTCCATCTCGTGATAACGCTGTTGTCAACACCGCCTCGCGATGTCCTTCCATCTTCTTCAACATAATGCCTGTGTTCAAGTCCCACAGCCGAAGGGTCTTGTCGTACGAGCCCATAACCATTCGTCGTCCATCGGGGAAAACTCTGGAAAACTGCGACTGCCGGCACTTGTTTTTCATGACCTTTAAATTCTAGCAAGCGTGTGGTACTTGAAATGAGCTCCGACATTTGACTGGAGGTGGACTGGAAGGGTCGTGGGTGCCTTTCTCTGAGGTGCGTGTATTATTGGTTTTTGTGCTGTGCCACCGCATTTGAGTACCGAACAACAGTGCATACAACAGGATGTACAGGAAAGGATAACCATCTTCCGAATAGTCTCCTTGTAGCATTTACATATATAAAGCAGTAGTACCCCATCCGCAGTTCTCAGACTTTAGTACATCTACTCAGTGATCTTTTTTCCTTACCATGTCAGGGCAAGAGCTAGAAGGACGAATCCTCAAGAGGTAGGCTCAACCTTACTACCCCCGCCGATCGACTCGAACAATAGCGATGTTACTTATTACCCTCACCACAGAGCAAATCCAAAGACAATACAAGATAAATTTCTAGTCGGATACCAAGGATGGTGCGTTCAATAGTTAATTATCACTGAGATGCAAGTACAAGGGCCAATAAGTGCCTCTGTAGCTAAACTTGCGGATGGATGATAGAGTGTCGCGCTGAACACTACTTTTGCAGGTTCACATGCAATGGAGACGGCGAACCCATGGATCCTAACCACCACGGATGGATGCACTGGTTCGATAAACCGATCTCGGGTGGTGGACACCCCAATACAGACCTATGGCCAGATGTATCCGAATACTCCCCATCCGAGCTGTTTCCCGCTCCAGATCTCCAAAATGCAGACGGAGAGCCCGTATTTCTCTTCTCTTCGCGAAACTCAAAGACGGTGAGGCGCCACTTTCACTGGATGGCATTACATGGCGTCGATGGCGCGTTTTTGCAACGATTCGCAACCCAATGTGACGTGGAGGCGGGCTCCGCAGCAATCAGGAAGATCAGAGATGAGGTGGGCGATCGTGTCAGAGAGGCTGCTGAAGCAGAGGGAAGGGTCTTTGCCATAATGTGCGCATACTCATCAACTCAGTCTGGCCGGTATTGACTGCGCATCTTAAGGTATGATGTCTCGGGTGTTCACCCAGACAAGATCCAACGGGTGCTCGAGCAAGATTGGATGCATCTAATACGTGACAAGTGTGTCCTAGACAGCCCAAATTACCTTCGGGAGAAAGGCAAGCCGGTCATCGCTCTGTGGGGTATGCTCGCATAAAGTATGATTATGGTCGTTTGGCTCATCTGTAGCCCAGGTTTTGGATTCAATCACAGAAACCACTCTCCACAGGTTGTCAGATCTATTGTCAATTTCTTTCGTTCCTTCACACCAGGTGGTGCTTATCTTATGGCTGGCGTACCTGGACATTGGCGCACATCAACATCTGATAGTGACCCAGACCCCGAATTCTTGCGGGTTTGGACAGAAGAATTTGACGCGCTAAGTCCCTGGACCATAGGGCGTTACGGGAACGAAGAGGAAGCGGAACGCTGGGGGAATGAGAAAGTCAAGCAGGACTTCGATTTTCTGAAGCGAAGAGGAGACGAAGGGGGGAAAAGAGTGGATTATATACCCGTAGTGCTCCCTGGAGGCAGCGTAGGTCCAGTGACACGTTCTATTATCGTTATCTTTATCATTTCTGTTCTACAGGGCTACAATCTCTCTCGCGGGCAATGGGGACTCAATGGAATAAAGCGCAACGGGGGCCACTTTCTTTGGAAACAAATCTACGCCGCCCGACACGCAGGGGTGCGCATCATCTACGGTGCCATGTGGGACGAATATGATGAAGGCACGGCATTCATGCCCGTAGTCTCTTCTTCAAAGCAACTCCCGGTTCATTCACAATTCAATTTTTTAGCGCTCGACGCCGATGGCCACTCGCTTCCGTCAGACTGGTATATGCGCATAGCTGGTTTCGCTGCTGAATCCCTACGCGGTGACCATATGTTACACGAGTCATTTCCCGTCAAGGAGTTACAGGATTATTGGGCCACTCGTCCCAGATATGAGGAAACGACACCTGCAAAGGAAGAAACGGAGCAATTGAACGAGGCTCAAAGAGCATACCATGATTGGGCCGCACAAGAGGAAGGTGCAGTGGTAGACGAGGCACCTCCGCCGTATATGCTGGAAGATGAGATGCAGAGTCCTCAAACAAGCAGTGTACAGAATACCGGACTAGTCCCTCCTGAGGCCACCAATCCTGTCCTCGATCGTTCATCACTCTCATCTGTGCCACCGCCATCTCCTCCGATGTCAACCAAGCCTGAATGTCCGCCCGGCTTGGATAAGCGTACCCAACAGTCCTATCAGCAACCAAGCTCTTCGTATACCATTGCCAGGCCATCGTCTCAGGTTTCTTCCTCTGTTCCATCATCCGCTGCTGTGGCCTATCTGGCTGGCGATCTCACTCGACAGACATTGTCACACCTTCCGCAGCATGCGTCAGGGTTTTCCTCTATAAGTCCTTCAGTCATCCAAATGCCTTCCGTGGAGGTGAGCCCAAGCGCCGCACCTATCTCTCCGCTCCCGGCTTCAGCGACACCCGTCTCGTCATGGCCGCAACGCCCTGTTCAACAACACAATCTTCCGAGTCATCCCCGTGTTTCACCCCTCGATTCCCTCCCCTCACTCATACCGCAGAGGGAGCCTTTCGGTATAGGTGGACCTGGATACCATGGGCCTGATTCCAACGTGCGCCCGCACGATCCCGCCTCTCTTCCCCGTGTCGAACATTCGCGCACAACTTCAAATTCTGGTGCACCTTGTGGATCTTCCATAGCAACGAATAGACCAGCACATCCCCACCCCGTACCAAATCCACTCGTGCAAGATTATTGCCAACGCCAAATTCCACCAACACAACTTCATCCTGGTGGTTCCCACTCTCCACGGCCTTATTCCCCGCCTGAATGGGGAACCCAACGCTCGCCTCCGCCTGTACCGCCCCGTGCGTATTTGTCTTGTTCATAGCTGCCTTTGCGTTGCTAATTGTTGCGTGTTGACAAGGTCCTCCCATGCACACGCAGTCTTTGAACCATGGCCCCTCGAACCAGTCAGCATCGATTTTGACAGGCAATGGTCGAGGGCGCGGGTTCAATAGTCGAGGGCGCGGACGAGGGCGTGGAAACAGCATCGCGGGGCATGTACAGGGAAGTATGCAAGGAAACAGCGGGAGACCCTCACGCGGAGTGAGTTTGTTCCTGAACATCATTCTGTTATGTATTGCTAATCTGGTTTTCTGCAGGCTGGCCGAGGCTACTAAATAGTGTTTAGCCTCTTGTAAACTCACAAGCACCGTAACAGCTCGCCTCCAGCCTTGTATAATTGCGGACATTTTAAGTTGAACTTTGATATGAATGCTTGTTGTGTTATTTCGTCCTAGATTGAATCCAACACGCAGACCAGGAGATGATATAAGTAATACATCTCAGAAACACAGGCTCGTCGAACCTCTACAGCCAATTATTCATTTATATTGTTTTGGCGGACGTTGATGGTGAACCGGTGATACCCAAGAGTAGCCTACTTCGGTGGCATCATACATAACTACCAAGGAAGCCATTTCAGCCTCTCCCAATCCAAAGCTGAGAATCATCTGTAAGATACCCTTCCATGGAAAACGTAACCCCCTCTTTTGCAAGCATCTCCATCTTTCTATTGCACTGTAACCCAGTGTTCTTCTGTCCACCCCTTGCGTTTGCGCCAGTGCCCCATTCACCGAAGAATCCACCAATGTACATATTTGATGCGATGATGCGGTGGCAAGGCACAAATGGTGCAAACGGGTTATTTCGAAGCGCAGAGCCAACTAGAAAACGAGATTGTGAGAGGAGACAAAGGGATTGCGTTTTAGACGCGCACCTGATCGCGGCGAACCTTGCCCAAGAGCGACGCAGATGTCCTTGTACGTCGTAACACGACCGCAAGGAATCGTTCTGGTGAAATCGTATACTGCCCATTGATGCGGAGTAACGCGCTGGGAGAAGCATCATGACTAAGGAATAGTCTTGGGCAGTCTCAATGCATGCTGCTTGCCTTGCCGTCGCGCGTCTTGAAGGTTTTGCGTTCATTTTCGCTTGACGGATAATGAATGTTGCCTATGAAGACAGTTCCACGAGAGTCATTTGACATGGGCTATGGAGTCGAATGTCATCTGCGCTTACAGTCTGCCAGGTCCTGCATTTCCTCCACGACTATGGTAGCCCTTGAGGTTATTGTCTTATGTTTATCGATGCCACTGGCACGCTTCTTTGAGCGCGATGTTGTCCTTGTGGCAGGCATGATCAAAACAGAAATGATAATAAAACTTTGCTATTGGGATGTGTTAGACACCAAGGTGGTACAAGAACGTGAGTGCTTGAGCTTTGGTGACCGTCAGGGGCAAGCACGACTCGGACACTTAATCCCACGCGTTGGCTGTGATTCAGGGCTGGCAAGACGGTGGCACTCGTCCAACTCAACTTTGTCTGCGATACTATGTACTATGGGAAGTAAGTATTTTTTAAGGAGTGTCTCTAAACCCCATCAGGTACTGCATAATCTGGAAGGAGGCCTGGAATTATCAGTTTTGCATCAGACAGCGTCTGCATGACAGCACTGTCGACTTACTACTGGCGCAAACTCTGGAAGCCTAATACAGAAAACATCAGCAACGAGACCCTGCAAATTGCAGTGCACTCACATGTGTCCACTCAAGGCTACTTCGTAATAAGTGAGTCCCCGCTCTGAGTGCATCGACCCGTAGGCACCCACGCCGTCGATAATGAAGCTGTCATCGGCGATAGGCGTCTGGAATCCCTGCAAACCATTCCCTTGAAATATGATAAATGGATCGTAGCGTACATCAAACATCACTAGTCACACACAGGTCATGCTACAAATGATTCCCATTGATCAAAGTGATTCAGTCACGATCAAGAACGCACTTGCTTTTGAATGGCAATTCTGGCACTATGTCATCAAACCATTGCGTCAGAATATACGAAGATAAGGGTCGAAACCGAAGTCATACCCATCAGCCATGATGATGAAGTCCGCGAGTCCGTGCACGATGACGGTCCGTTGGCTCTTCTTAATAACACTCGGTAATACAGTGAGTGCAGGGGGTAAGCTGCTGTCTTCGTTGGGGAAGACATTGGTCGAGGTGCATTCAATCCACTCGGTATCCACGGGTGCGTGAATAGCTTCTTTTACGTCTGTTAGGTTATAGTAGATAGGAGACTGCGTGTCTCTGGATCTGCGTCAGCTGGCTTCATTGAATCGATCATTGAATGGCTTACAAAAAACCTAGGACATCACATGGAAGCGGATACTTGAAGGAAAAGAAGTTAATATGGTATTCATTGATATCTTCTTCGACTCACAGTATCCCAGATGCGATACATATTGAAAGAGGGGTTGATCATCAGCGCATTGTCATGAATGTCGGTCCAGATATTGCAGCCTTGAGCAAAATCGGTAGAGTCTCCTGGCAGCGGAAGAAGACCTTTTGGAGGGTATGTGGCGTACTTATCCATGTATCCAGTGTAATTGCACGTTGCAGCCATTTCGTCGAGGTGGTGCATGTACGTTTGACTAGATATCAATCAGTGAGTGACCTGCGAACTAGGTCCGAGTGAAATGAACAAACTTAAAAGAGAAGAGACTAGCGTGTTTTTTCACGAAGTCCACTGCAGGGATTTGTTGTTGTACCACATACCATGAGATTAAGGCTGAGCTTCACGTATAAGCCCTTGAGAAGAGACAGGGTAAGTCAAAATGTTAGTTACGATCATTGATCCATATCCCTTGCAACGAGAGGCCCAACCGACTCGGGTTCTCGTAGATATAGTTTGCGATATCTTCATTTGTCTTAGAGTTACGTTCAAAGAATACGACTGGTGACTCACAAGGCACGTACATTCCAGCATACTGAATAAAGTCAGTACGATGTTTTACTGGACTCTCTGAGAACTTACACTTTCACCCGATAAATACAGCTTTTTACCTTTGAGTTCCGAAAAGACCTCAAGGAACTGCTGCATGAAGCCGACGAGTTGAGCAGCAACATCATCCTCGTTCTGTGCGTCCGGGATGCCTTGAGAAAATCCCGTGCCAACAGGTTGCTCCACCCAAAGCACGGAGGACAGGTTGGTCCAGCTGTGTTGGTTCACCGTTGGTTGTGCCTGACCCCAGGACCAAGTGAAAGGCTTCAAACATCTCAGTTATAGATGAGTCTTGTCGTCAACAAAGAGGCTTACCCCGTTCTCTTCCAGTAAACCTGCGAGGGAGGAGCAGCCAGGTCCACCATTCGTCCTTGAAGTAGAACATGTCAGGTCAGCAGCGAAGAGCTTAGAGCACACTGCTTCTGATGACACACCAAAAAATCAAATCATTAAGACTCCCTTGGGGGCCGGGAGGGAAGAACCAAAAAAAGAGCTGATGTCCTTGATGTCAACCCTTGAAGGACGTGGATAAACTGCTCGTGTACATACCTGACGCGTCTCATTAGGATTGTTGCTGATGGGCAGAAGACCCGCCCAGCTAGGACCAACGTCGAAGTCAACAAGAGGAAGAGATTTGCCATCGACGTAAAATTCTGGACGAAGATGAATCAAACGTATTAGATATTTACTTGTAGCATTTCAGTCACCTGAGGCCTTGGGGTTGGTGAATGTGATATTCTGAACACCACCGCTTTTTACATTCTGAGAGCCACTAGTCTGCCAACGTTTTGCTGCCTCGAGTCGACGTTGGTTAATCTCTTGCATGGTCATCAAACGACCGCTGGCGGCGGCCACTACGAGCAGAGTCGCAAACACGGCGAGAAGACGCATCACGGTCGAATAAGCCAAGAGTTTGTGAGGGGGGAATAGCGAGTCGTATTTAAAATGAGTATTCCTGCAACGAACATTCAGACAAACCACATGTATACGAGGCAGGTCGCCATAGGGAATAGTGATGTGCCGGCCCGGCTTGGCCTGAAAGCCACGGCTTTGGCCTGGCTTGAGGTGGCTTTGGCTTTCTAAAATCTCAGGCCAGGCCGTCAGCCAGAGCCAGGCCAAAGCCACGGCTTGGCTTTGGCCCAAGCACGGCTCATAGCAGCAAAAAGTCAAAAAATACATTTGCAAACTACTCTAGGCTAGTAATCTGACATTTCAGATACAGACATATCATCATCAATGTTGTTCTCGTCATCCAAAATGAATGTGTCCCAACCCCGTTCGTCATCTGCGACATCACCCTCCTTCTCCGATATAGTATCAGCTTCGGTGTCAGAGTCATTGAATTCTTCTTCGACAAGTGATGATGGCCCAGCCTCGCGAAACAAAAGATCATTGCGTAGTGAGCATTTAAGACTTTGGAGCGCTTCCACTATATCACCTTTGAGCCGTTTCCGTCGTTTACTGACTGTGATTCCGCCTTGCGAAAATGCTCGCTCGCTTGAGACAGACGATGTCATGATGGAGAGATAGTCGCGTGCGAGTGATGCCCACGTTGGGTACCTCGGTGCATTGATCTTAAGCAACATTAACATCAGTAACGAGTTTTAGAGTAGCAATGATATACTCACACCCCACCACTGAATCGTGCTCATTCCAGCAGGTGGAACATAAGTTTCTTCTTGAGTCGAGTTAGATGGTTCTTGAACATTCGCATGATCTCTGCTCGTGTGGCTTTTCGCCCCGGGATTTTGACGCCTTGAGTTGCACGGGAGGCAACATCCACCATCTCCTTGAACCTTGGATGTTCGAGAGCCTGAATTGGCTTGTGGAGAAGGCTCATTAGCATAGTGTAGTAGTAGTTTATGATACTAACATACCTGGTCTGTTGCAATGAGCCACTCAATTGCAGCTTTTCGAAACAACTGGTCAGAGTAAGGGATGACCCGTTCCGAAATCTTGCGCTCTGTCACATGCGCATCAATGGTTTGCTGTGCTTGCGCGACCTTCTTTTTTTCAGCGGCAACATCACCAGGCAATTTCGACGTGAATGAATTGGCCTTGGCCCATTTCCTATATTTCCCCGCAAATCGAGCTTCGGCATGTCGACGTAGTGTAGTTGGCTCGTTCACAATGATACAGTGACCCCTGCAAGTAGAACATTCAAGGTTTATAATAAAGACAACACAAAGGTGAGACGACATACGGGCAAACGCATCAGGAAATTCTCACATTTACTTGATGTGCTTAAATGACTTAATAAGCACAAATAAGTAGGAGCGCTGGATAAGCAAACACTGACTTATTCAGACCAGTCGATCTCTTATTTTCGTCTTAATTTCACTTATCGCTCTGGTAGTAAGATGAAAAAGTGATCATTCAGTACAATAAGTGAAGTAATGAAACACGACAAAAAGTCAATTAAAATAGGATTTAGAAAATGAGCGAATACTGTTAGACAAAGCAGTCGAAATTGCGAGTGAACAAAACTTCAACTGTAATACTACGATGAAGAGCAATATGAAGGTGGCGGCAGTAAAAACTTGAATGGTACAAAACGCCGTGATGCTGACAGATCCAAGTTTTCGCTGTTGCCTCGCTGGTGAAGTGGGAGGTAAGCTGCAGACCTGCGACTGGTGGGAAAGGACTGTGATCAGCATGGCTTAAACTCGAAGGAGAATCGGCACACTTACAGTCTGCAAACGGTGGGCAACGACTTCCGAGAGGTGGGTATTACTATCAGCATGGCTTGAGCTTGAAGGAGGATCAGCACACTCACAGTCTGCGAATGGCAGGCAACAACTTCTGAGATGTGAGAGGCGGGTAACGCCGCGAGTAGTAAGCATTCTTCTGGTGAATAACAAAAAGGTTGCATCGACACGCTTATTCCTAAACGTGCGAAATTCAACTTCTGTTCAAAGCTCCGCCATCCACACCAGCCACATTAATCGGTCTTATATGGGTGAGCGGCTTCCACACTTTTGTCCCTCCTAGAGTTAACACTCTAGGGACAGCCCAACCTAACCAATCGCACCACACAAGACTCTGGTTCAGCGGTTCGCACCTCAGATGTTGGCCTTCGCATGCACGGCTGAGGTGAGGTACTCACAGTTTCACATATTCACCTTTACTTACTTCGAGTAGTACACGTTTACCTTCGCGCGCACGCGGCACAACTGAGAGTGTCTGTTTGTTCCAGACCCGTGCGCGAAGTATATTCATCTTTTATTGTTACCAATCGCATACTAACATATTTGTCAAAAAAAAATGTATTACCGCACTTAATTCACTTTCGCGTCTTATACTACAATATTGATTTGAACCAAGTTTGTAAAAAGTGAAATCAGTAGAATCAGTAACATCAGAGGTTTCCTTTTTTTACTTAGCGACTTTTTTCAGAGCAATAATATGAATCAGACCGAAAAGGAAATGTGAGATATTGCTGATGCGGTGCATTTACGATGCTTTTTCACTATTCCATTAGCACCGGTGCGCTCAAAAGGTTTACCGAAAAATCTATCAAGGTCGCGAGTCCTATCCTCTCGTGAGGGACCAGGGTCAGTAATTGGCTGGACATCAATATCGGCAAGAATTCCATCCTCATCGACATCTTCTTGATCCATTACAGCAGCTTGACGGACTCGTTTTGCTGTTTTCAAATCAACAAAATGGACACATTGACAAAAGCAAAGGAACTCACGTTTGGGATTTATATGGGCATTTTCACACTCGTCATCATGGTCATCATCACGATCTTCCGTTACAGTGGCTTGACGGACTCGTTTTTCTGTTTTCAAATCAAAATGAATACATTTACAGATGCGAAGGAACTCACATTTTGGATTTGTACGGGCATTTTCATGCTCGTCGTCACTCTTTTCAATGTCAGTGTCAAAAATCCCTTCACTCCGTACCCTTTTGCTGTTCTCGGGAGCAGGAGAGATTTCAGTTTGGTCGGCAGCAACTAGTTGGCATTCAGTGGCGAGTTTTGCAGCTTCAGCAGCACGGAAGTCGTTGATTGCTTTCATTTGGGAAGGGATGGCTGCCTTCTCTGAATGTTGGAGAAGTGCTGCTGTAGGTTTCGTTTTGCGCACCGGGCGCGCAACAACACGAAGTTCATCTTCGTTGTCTGTGTGGATTGTGCTGACCATTAGAGGCTAGTACTAGGCAGGGACAGAATGTGGTGAAAAATATCAATTGGGGGTGCATGACACTGTAACGAGCAAGTACTTTGTAAACTAGGGATAGATACATGAAAAATTAGCGGATCATAGAAATAAAGATTTGCAATATGGACAAGCACGAGCCGATGTCAAAGTGTTGCTCACTTGTCCCGCTTTGGTTGTGCTCGCACAGAATCACTCTCGCCTCGTACCCATCTCGGATCCTTCGGCCTTCGACATGCTGGGTCATTTGGACTCTAGCGCCGAAAAATACACTCACTTTATGGTTGGTTTATGTGGCGAGAGAGTTGTGAGGGAGTTGCGAGGCACAGTTGACTCGGCCACTTGACAGGCAAACGAGTTGCTAACAACAAATACACCTATGACACAAAAGTAAGTTATAATGATGCACAGATGTTGCAACTCACCAACATGATAGCGACATAGTCCACAAGGGGAGTTCCGAGAAGCAAATTGGTTGGTAACCGTGCTGACTAAGCACGCAAAGCCACGGCCTGGGCCGCCGGCTTTGGCTTTTCAGTACCTCAGGCCAGGCCAAAGCCGTGGTCAGGCCATGATCTTTGGCCTGGCTTGGCCTGGCCTATTCTGGCCTGGCCTGGCCTGGCCCACGGCCTGAAGCCGGGCCATGCACATCACTAATAGGGAATGAGTGCGTTCAAGCGGCAGAATATCCAAGCCGAGTTCTACCAACCGGTTTGGCTGAATTATTTGTGGCAGTCGGCAGAACTTCTTTTCGAGAGCAGAACCTTGCAGAACTACAGGCTCAGCAGAGCAACAAGATATTCAATTTGAATTATGAATTTGTTGAGATTGGCGCCAAGACGCAAGCCTGTACGAACACGAGGGCGCATGTAGGAAATGGCCGGTCTGTGTTAAGTCTGCACAGACTCCGCCCCAAAGTCTGGGTGACATGTCTGGGTAGTGTTGCTGGTGAACTGAACTCAGTTTGAACTGACTTCGCTTCGCTTCGAAAATGAGGCAGTGTGCTTACCTCCCAATGACGCACAAGATCAGTGACACGCTCGCCTGCATTGAGTGTCAGTGGCTCACGTTCATAACACTCTAACTCCCTTCTAGCATCCTTGCAATCTTCCTCCATTGCTTTTGTCTCTTGTTGATCAAGCTCTTCGGCAGTTGGTTGATGTCCTTCGTTCGTGTTGGCATAGGTGATGGTGAACTTGAAGAAGACATGATTGAGGAAAAGGATGTCGAACGTCGGATATCAACATTGATGCACGATAGTCGTCGTGCTGCACGAGTCTGTACTTGTGCTGCACAAGTACAGACTCGTGCAGCACGACGACTATCGTGCATCAATGTTGATATCCGACGTTCGACATCCTTTTCCTCAATCATGTCTTCTTCAAGTTCACCATCACCTATGCCAACACGAACGAAGGACATCAACCAACTGCCGAAGAGCTTGATCAACAAGAGACAAAAGCAATGGAGAAGTTGTGCTGCAAGCGAAGTTGTGGTCCTCCGAAACTCGGATGTCGTGTACAGGTGTGCGATAGGTTCGAATTCACAGGTAATAGTCAGTAGATGAGAAATGACCACTGGCCCAGAGGCTGGCGCCTCATGCAAGTAAGCGCTCAAGATAATTAGAAACTATCTACTTCATCTTGGCGCGTAATTAGACAAATTGGGTTGCTGCATCGCCTCATTTACGAAAACCAGGTTGTAACGAACTGCCTGAGCCTATGACATTTTCGAGTTAAAACTGAGTTCAGTTCACCAGTAACACTACCTGCAATACTATGTGATATGAGAAATACGTATTTATCTAAGGAGTGTCTCTAAATCCCATCAGGTACTGCATAATCTGGAAGGAGGCCTGAAATTATCAGTATCTACGTCAGACGGCGCGAGTCGCACTGTCGACTTACTACTGGCGCGAACTGTGGCACCCTAGTACAGCAAAAATTAGCAAAGAGACTCTGCGAATTGCAGTAAACTCACATGTGTCCACTCAAGGCTACCTCATAATAAGTGAGTCCTCGTTCTGAGTGCATCGACCCGTAGGCACCCACGCCATCGAGAATGAAGCTGTCATTGGCGATAGGCGTCTGAAATCCTTGCAGACCATTCCCTTGAAATATAACGAGTGAATCATGGTGCACATCAAACATTACTAGTCACGCACAGGTCATGCTACAAATGATTCCCATCGATTAAAATGATACAATCACGATCAAGAACGCACTTGCTTTTGAATAGCAATTCTGTCTCTAAATCATCGAGACATTGCGTCAGAATATACGAGGATCAGGGTCGAAACTGAAGTCATACCCATCAGCAATGAGCCTGAAGTCTGCGAGGCCGCGCACGATGACGGTCCGCTGGCTCTTCTCGATAACATTCGGTAATACAGTGAAGGCAGGGGGCAAGCTGCTATCTTCAGTTTCGAAGACATCAGGACTACATGCAAACCAGTCGGTATTCACGGGAGCGTGGATAGCTTCTTTTACGTCTGTTAGATTATAGTAGATTGGAGACTGCATGTCTCTGGATCCGCGTCAGCTGGGCTTCATTGAATCGATCATTGAATGGCTTACAGAAAACCTAGGACATCCCACGGAAGCGGATACTTCAAAGGAAAAGAAGTTAATATGGTATTAATTGATATCTTCTTCGACTCACAGTGTCCCAGATGCGATACATATTGAAAGAGGGGTTGATCATCAGCGCACTAAACCAAATGTCGGTCCAGATATCGCAGCCTTGAGCAAAATCGGTAGAGTCTCCTGGCAGGGGAAGAAGTCCTTTTGGAGGGTATGTCACATACTTATCCATGTAGCCAGTGTAATTGCACGTCGCGGCCATCTTGTCGAGGTGGTCCATGTACGTTTGACTAGATATCAATCGGTGAGTGACCTGCGAACTAGGTCCGAGTGAAATGAACAGACTCAAAAGAGAAGAGACTAGCGTGCTTTTTCACGAAGTCCAATGCAGGGATTTCCTGTTGCACCACAAGCCACGAGATTATAGCTGGCTTTACGTATAAGCCCTTGAGAAGAGACAGGGCAAGTCAAAATGTTAGTTACGATCATTGATCCATATCCCTTGCAACGAGAGGTCTAGCCGACTCGGGTTCTCGTAGATATAGTTTGCGATATCTTCATTTGTCTTAGAGTTACGTTCAAAGAAGATGACTGCTGACTCACAAGGCACGTACATTCCAGCATACTGAATATAGTCAGTATGATGTTTTACTGGAGTCTCTGAGAACTTACACTTTCACCCGATAAATACAGCTTTTTACCTTTGAGTTCCGCAAAGACTTCAAGGAACTGCTGCATGAAGCCGACGAGTTGAGCAGCAACATCATCCTCATTCTGTGCGTCCGGGATTCCTTGGGAAAATCCCGTGCCGACAGGTTGGTTGCTCCACCCAAAGGACGGAGGACAGGTTGGTCCAGCTGTGTTGGTTCACCGTTGGTGCTGCCTGACCCCAGGACCAAGTGAAAGGCTTCAAACATCTCAGTTATAGATGAGTCTTGTCGTCAACACAGAGACTTACCCCATTCTCTTGCAGCAAACCTGCGAGGGAGGAGCAGCCAGGTCCACCATTCGTCCTTCAAGTAAGCCATGTCAGGCCAGCAGCGAAGAGCTTAGAGCACACCGCTTCTGATGACGCACCAAAAAATCAAATCATCAAGACTCCCTTGGGGGCCGGGAGGGAAGAACCAAAAGAAGAGCTGATGTCCTTGATATCAACCCTTGAAGGACGTGCATAGACTACTCAGGTACACACCTTGCGAGTCTCATTAGGACTGTTGCTGATGGGCAGAAGACCCGCCCAGCTAGGACCAACGTCGAAGTCAACAAGAGGAAGGGATTTGCCATCGACGTAAAATTCTGGACGAAGATGAATCAAACGTATTAGATATTTACTTGTAGCATTTCAGTCACCTGAAGCCTTGGGGTTGGTGAATGTGATATTCTGAACACCGCCGCTCTTTACATTCTGAGAGCCACTAGTCTGCCAACGTTTTGCTGCCTCGATTCGGTGTTCGTTCATCTCTTGCATGGTCATCAAACGACCGCTGGCGGCGGCCACTGCGAGCAGAGTCGCAAACACAGCAAGAAGACGCATTACGGTCGAATAAGCCAAAAGTTTGTGAGGGGGAAATAGCGTTCGTATCTAGAATGAGTATTTCTGAAGTGAACATAAGTATAAAAGGAGCGTCGCCATGGCAGGGAACGTATGGCGTCATGGGTTTTTCATGCAGCGTTACGTGGGCACGATCGACTTGGGCGTTGAACATTGAACGTTCAACCGTGATTGACACACATGCGTTGCGGCAGAATTGCCGAGCCGAATTCTACCAACCGGTTTGGCCGAATTAGCTGTGCCTGGCAGTTGGCAAGACTTCTTTTCGAGAGCAGAACACCAGGCTCTCAGAGCAACGGACCATTAAATTTGAATGATGAATTCGTGTTCAATTAAAATTGTTCGATTGTTACTCACATGCCGGAACATGCCTGAGCTCTTGGAAAGCTTACACATTGAAAAGGCAACAGTTGATTCGACGCTACTCTTGGATGCACCATGAAGAGTAATCTATGTCTCTGAGATAGACATTGATGCTCATAAGTACATTGCATGCCAGTAAATACTTACATCCAAGGGAAGCACGCCCAGTATGAAGTCCTAAAAGTTAGGTAATTGAGCACATTGTTGAAGACGAACCTAGTAGACATCATAGTAGCGGTGGTATAGCTTGATAAAAATGGAAGTCAACGACACGATTACTAGCGCCGTCTCGTGGCGCGATACTTGCAAGACTCACTTTGTTGTTGACTGCTTATCGGCGAGGGACCAGCAGAACAACCGGTGAGTACTAGTGAACTATTCCTATCCTATTTCACAGCTAACAGTGTCAGAGCCAGGAAAACATACAAATGACTTATCGTGACGAATCATGTATTCCAAAACTCTTACGACGCCTACCATTGAGCAAGTCGTGCGTTCTGATTCTAAACCGCCTGCAATGCCAACCACCGATGAAAATCCACTCCTGCCCAACCCGAGAGAAGAGCTCCAAAGCATAAGTTTGAAAGGCATCAACCATCGAAAATTTTATCTTCTTGCAGGACAACATCCGCATCACGACGAGCTTCGTTGAACAGCAGAATGCGCAAGTGGAACAGCGACACAGGGCTTCTTGTTGGGGAGCCATGATCAAGCGAGGGCGGAAAGATACATGCTCTGGCGCATCCACTGGACAGGAAGATAATGCGGGCGGGAAGACGGAAGCGTGACTCGTAGTGGGACACCGACAGAAATATGATCGAGGGCGTTTTAAGTTGGAGCCGACAAGTCAGATTCGAAAAGCAGAGACGCTTGGACTTGCATATTTACCTTTAGGTGGTAAGAACGCACACCGGGTTTAGATGTAATGCATAGAGCTCGTCGTCGGGCCTACAAGGAGTCATCGGATGGGACTCCGATGCCGATATATTTGCACGTGTTCGCCAGAGTACTCCTCTTAATGCTACCGTTATCCTTCTTCACAAGTTACATATTCGTCGCTCAATAGTTATCATGCATACCTTTTGCCGTGGGCTTTGCTTTGATCCCTGATTTGTTTGGTTCTTAGTAGTTGAGCCGTCGAGGTACTCAGGTGAGCGTAAATGACCAAATAAAATATTCATATCCAAATTCACCACTGGCACCATTCACTGTTTTCCAGCGCATTTTCACCTTGTGCTGGCACATGCACATATAGGTTATTCAAATATTCAGGCGCAGGTGTCTCACAGCTGCATATTTCCTCCGGAATCCAGATGCGCAGATACTTATTAGCATACCGTTTAGTGTGTTGGACACTCACTCAATAGGGACGGTCCGACGAAGACATTGCTCCCGGGCTTCTATTACGTGCGTTCACACGGTATCCAAGGTGACAAGCGACACTTCCCGGTATCCCTGTCCCTACCACCGTCTTGCGTACTCTTGCATTCGACCGCCTTCCTTCTATTGCTCCCAGAACTGTCACAAGTCACCGCTACAAAACCTCACAGAAGAGAGGCAACCGACTCCTTGTGTTAAGGGAACCAGCGTTGACAATCAGCATTTGCAGCCTTATTGTTCTTCAGCACCATCTGGTCCCTCTTGTTACAAGCACACTCACCCGTCCTCAGCTCACCATCTCTGGCACTTCCTTGAAATTTCTCGACAGCAAGCGAGTCTATTGCGCTGTACCGGTAACAGTTCCCGTGTATCATGAGTTCGTTGTAAGAGCACAAACCCTCAGCGCTCAGCCGTTGAGCGAAACGACTGAGGAAGGAAGTAGGGACACGTTCATCGCGTCTGCTGACCTAGTATACACTGGCAGGAAGTACTTGATCTATTACTACGTTACCTCTAGCTGCAGAGCGCCATCAGCAACGTGCCAGGAATGTCACGCCCACGAAGAAACGGTTCATCACTTCCTGTTAGTATGCCCCAAATACGCCAGACAGTGCAACGCACTCCGCATGGAGATAGGACCACATCAAGTATCTCCTAAGCGAGAGCAAAGTAATTAGAGCGACAGTCAAGTACATTGCGCGCACGAAAAGATTAGAGCAGGTTTTCGGCGATGTCACCCCCCAAAGGAGAAGGAAGGAGGCAGGAGACAGTTGGAGGAGGAAAGAGCAAGAGGAAGAATCGCACCCAACGTGTAACACAACAACTCAACGCCTTAAGACGGCGTCCCCGTCCTAGCTCACGTGCGGACCATTGCAAAGCACCGACCCAACATAAGATACGATACATAACCTACATAGCACAATAGTGTAAGTAGTGTCCACCATAGGGCTCCGCCCCACAGGACAATAAACGAGGATCAAAAAAAAACCTCTAGCTGCTCCCAATCAGACCACGGATAGCAAACTGCCATCCCTTCTTTCAAAACTCGGCAGTCCGCCAACTGTCCACAAGATCTGAATGAATGTGAGATCGCACCGCAATACTGCAAGGGAAGGTTGCAGGGCACCTGAAGCAACGAAACTCTCAGTAACAAGAGGATATAATAACACGAAGAAAGTCAAGTACCGAATCGCTCCTGGGATAAACTTTGGAGTAAAGTTGATCGCTTTTCCTTGGTCATCTTTGGCAGGAGAAATATCCAACGTGGCTAACATGGTCGCAATGGCAGCCCACGCGGAGGAATCAGCGTTATACCGCCCTGATCAAAGTCTTTCTGTCGATGAATCTTTTATAGGATTAGAATACGTTAACGAACCTGGGCATATACGCCGGCCAAGGCCGAAAATGTATTGTGCAGGGTCATCACTTGTCAACGCGCCATCGCTGTCGATGAACCTCTCTGGTATGAAACTAGATGCGTCGGGGTACCGCTTCTCATCCCGTGTAATGCCCCTACAATCAAGTCAGTACCACAAAAGCTGGGAAGAATTTCATATCGGACCATGTGTTGTATGTGATGATTGCGCCTGATGCACGATACTATAAATAATTATTGCGTTGATTCCGGGACAAAAACAGCGGACCTTTTGGAATGAAATACCCATCGTATATGTCATCACTCGAAGTGGCATGTGGTACGCCTATGAGATGATCTTCAGCACAGGCCAGATCACTCGGCGGGGAAGAATACCAAGGGGCACCACAGGCTGCCATCGCCAAGTCTCTCGCACAACTGCTTCGATGTAGGGTAGCAATGCTCTGTCCTCGAACGTTGGCAGCCGTTCTTTTCCAATCACTGAGTCGATTTCCGCTTGTGCGCGTTTCTGAACTTCTGGATATAATACCATGGCCAGGAAAAAAACCATCAAAGTTGCTGCACTCTGTGACGACGATAAGCAGCAGACAACACGATGGAGTTGTCCATTTACCGTCTCATATGAAGCTGTGTGATATTAGTGTATGTCGAGAGTACAATGTTGCTCGTAAAGAGGCTGACTCACCTATAATAGCAGTAGTAGCTGCTTTCTTCAACGCATTCTCGAATGCAGGTTTGAATGCCTCCTCTTGCCTCTCCATCCGTTGCAAATTTTCTGCAACCATCGAAGACCGAGCGAGCAACGAGCCGTCGGCCTTGCCAACAGCCGAGTCAATGTCTGAAACCAGGAGAAAAATAAACACCCACCATATGCTGCTGCACATATAGAAACGGCATGTCGGCCATTTCATTGATGCGCTCCCTCGAAGATCGAGCACCACGCTTGATCGAGGATCCCCAGCACCAGTCAGGCACCTTTAGTACTACATCCCACAAAAGTGCGTGTCACGTTAACGTTATCTCATCCAGGAGAGTTGAGCTCACAGAAGGGAAAGGTTTTGAGCATCAATGCTCTCTCTGGGGTCATCAAGGTCAAGCCTGGAACCAGTGCCTTTATCACGGTCTGCACCATGGGATCATCACGAGCACCGATATCATAGTCATATACTGTTGACATCACAACGGATAACGAGAATCTGTCAACAGGTAAATAATGGTTCAATTCGTAAAAAAAATCATTCGCTGACGTTGCGAAGTGGTCGTGATAATTTTGAGGGTCATCCACTAGGTTGACGATAATCTCACGAGCACGCTTGATCTGCATCGGGCGAAATTTTGCTGCAGAGTCGGGACGGAAAGTTTGGTGGAAAAGTCGTCTGCAAAGACGCCATTCATCGCCATAAGCTGCGAATCCAAAGTTAATCGACAACCCATATCTGCGAGAACCTCAGGCTGGTTGAATAAAGGAATACTGAACGAACCCACGGCACGAGTGTTGCTAGATATGGTCGATCGGAGTAAATACGAGAACGCTTGTCCAGTAAGGCTTCTGCGATGTGCTGAGAATTGATCACGACCATTTCCTCGTCTAGACTTCGCACGAAGAGCAAGTCCCCTGATATAATGATTCACACCACGATGTCCCATACTATCTGTTCACGTACCATACGCAGCACCCCATTCGGTGTAAGTCAGCCAAGGCTCATAAGCGTCAATAGATAAGACGCTCCCCAACAGTGGGAGGGGCACTGGGCCAGGAGGAAGAGGAGCACTATCCTGTCGCTTTTTGATGAACCGCCTAAGTGCCTTGACGGCGACAAAGGAAAGAGAAATGCCAGCGAGGATGGCAAGGTGGCGATCAACTGCAAGGGCCATGATTCGAGCAGTGGATATGTAAACTGTATACAACACGACCGTCCTTATAACCACGGGGAAGTGGAGTAATCGACGGTGATTATGCAATTCGGTGATATATATACATATTGCTTCTTGCTCAAATCATATCAACTTCTGCATGGGCGGCGGATGTTCTGGAGAGACCCGATAATCACAGAAGGATATGATCATGGAAGGAGAACACATACATAACAAAGTATAAAATTAAGCAAGCAGCCTGCACCGCGGAACCCATCTTCGTATTCCAGATTTTGCTGCATCGTGATGGTATCCGCCTGTCGCAAATGGTGAATAAATCATCACCCACGCAGAAACTTCCAAGGTTGTATCTCCGCTCTTTATATCTTACATTCCGGGGGGAGCCGTATTATGCCTTGTCTGCCAGGTAAGTGTATAACACCTTGTACCCGATTGACTCTTGCGCCTTACCGGTCGAGGAGGAAATGATCGGTGTTCGACGACTACATCAGAAGATCAGTATGCGGGCAAAGCCCACATAAATAGTTGAATAAGAGAAGCAGGGATTACTGGTGAATCTAGATTCTACATACCTATCTTTTGAGATAGCCACAAGAGTTGGTCAAAAAATGCAGACGACTCATTTTGTTGCCATCGAAGAAGCCTGGCGGTATTCGGCGGAGATCCTCGACCTTGTGACATCACTCTAGGATGCGGATGTATAAACGGTCGAAAAGATCAAGAAGCTCGCCACATATATTCATCAACGACTTCTCAGCTAGGACCTGCAACCTGAAGTGAAAAAATTGGTCCATATGACATTCGGGATGATCTTAATCGCCGGGCCATGTGACGTGGAGGTAAGCTTCTTTCCATCCGATGTCCGGGCTTCCCGTGGGGAGCAAGGCGGAGACTGCTCATCAAGGTCCGAAAGCGAATATGTTCACGGTATCGTCGAGACAGGCTCGCTCATGAGTATCGTAGATATCGGCCTGGGTTGCAGCCGAAATAGTCATGGCAGTGCATGACCTATAAGAGAGGGAGTCGATGATCAATCAGTACTCGCTCACCCTGCAGCTTGAAGTGCTCGCATGCCAATCATCACCTTGATCGGTTTTGAAAGTGCCACGGTAACGTTTTCTGCCACGAACAAAGCTGAAGCAGACCAGATAGACCGTAGACTGTTATAAACGAGTTCACATTCATGACGCAAATCAGGAAGTGGAGCACCTAGATGACCTTTAATTTCACCTGTGGCGTTCTATGATATAACAGCCTTGTATGATTAGGAACGCCGCCAGCGTCCAGCTAATCTGGCTGCTTGTCGCACATGGATCGGCTTCCATCAAAGCTGCAAGACGATATCAATATCAAATATGTGACAAACAGTTTTAAGTCGTTACTGTGGCTGTCCGTCTATGACTAAACGTAGTTACCTATATGGACTCGTTCAAATCTGGTCATGTCAACGAAAGTAGCATTGACCAGTCGTATGTGTTTGGGTCGTAGGGCTTAAGGCCTAGACTGCAAGAATCGCACTCTCCCAGTACATGTATCCCGCATAGTTAAACCTTCGTTTGTTTAAGGCTGGTCATGAGTCCGTTAAACGGCTATCGCAGCCTGCCCTAATCGCAGGGCACGGACCATTTACTCCAGTCAAAATAGCTTAAAAGGAAGAGCACCTACGTAGAACTAGAAGTACGAGCGGTCGGGGCAGCGTTCAAGCCCCCTGACGAGATCTTTCGCAGGATCGAAACCGCTGCCCTCCGCTCTACTAGCCCCTCCCTCCCGTTGTAGCAGCGCCCTATCTTAGGAGAAGGCGGACTGCAGCACGCGTGCATAGGGGTGGTCTGCCTAGTACACTACTAGTCGTAGACTAAAATCTATTGCCCACCTTGCGGCAGAGGCCTCGTTCCTCGGCCCCCTTCTCAGGGGGCCTAGATTGGCATCACCTGCAGAGTTGGCAGTTCAGGGCAGGCCACACCTGCACACTTTCCGACCCGTAAAGGTAATCATAATACCGTTAACGGCCGTACAGTCTAGCCGTAACGCAATCGATCTCCACGGACTGGAGCCAAGCTATACTTCGACGATTCAGACACTGTTCAAGGGGTTCGGGGCCGTCAAGAATCGACACTTGTCCAAAGTTTTAGTTTTCGGGGACGACACAGTCTCCCCACAGCATCAATGGGGTCACCGGCCGTACAAAATCCAGACACATATACGGGGGCGCTTCAGTCACTTATTCGGTTCCAGCGATGACCCCAACACCAGTACTTGCACTCGCCCTCATAGCGCTTGTATCTTTCGTGATAGTGCAATCCTTGCAAAAGAAGAGAGACACTAAGAAGCATCCTTTGCCCCCTGGTCCTCCACCTCTCCCTTTTGTTGGAAATGTGATCGGAATCGACCCAGATCATCCATGGTTAGCATACTCAAGATGGGGAACTGAGTATGGTGCGTAGAACCTCCGACATGTGGATCTGGATGTGCTGAATTGCGACACAGGGGAAATCGTTTACACCCGACTCTTTAGTCAGGATATCGTGATCATCAACTCCGAAAGAGTTGCGCATGACTTGCTCGACCGTCGTTCATATAACTATTCCACGCGACCCCCGGGACTCGTGCACCTTCTTGGCTTGTGAGGCCCTTCTATTGTTTGATATTCCGATTGTTAAACGAATCCTAGTTTTGGTCATGACTACTCCTCTACCTTTCTACCCTACTCAGACAAGTGGAGACTTCGTTAGTATATTATCCCTTCAAGTTCTCTTATCGCACTTATCAGTCTTTACAGACAGGCGAATCTTCCATGAAGCATTCCATTTAAAAGCAGCGTCATCCTTCCGTCCGATTCAAATGCGCAATGCTCACAGTTTGATACTAAACCTACTAGCCTCTCCGGAGGTGTATGGAACCCATTTTTACACGTTAGCAATCTCTCCTTTCATGTATTGCGTGGTTGAACCATACTTTCTACGCAGCTTCAGCACGTCTATCATCATGTCAATCATGTATGACTATGCTATAGCGCCCGTTGATGATCCCTTCCTTGCGCTCATTGAACGCTCACTTGAGATAGATGTAAAAGTATTCAGGCCCGAGGTCGCAGCTATTGTAACACAGTTTCCCATATGTGCGTATAACTTCGATCATCTGCAGTTCTATCCTAATGCACTCACAGTGGAAAAACTTCCTCCTTGGCTCCCTGGAGCGAGTTTGGTAAGGGATGCTATTGTCCAGAGAACCCTCGTTCCCATGATTGTGGACATGCCGTTTGAACATGTGAAGAACAACATGGCAAGTTCCAAGTGCCTTTTGATTTGAGTATTATTTAGATGAGGCTCATGGTGATCCTCAGGTCGCGGGGACGGCTGCACCATCCGTGGTGTCGGATGCATTGAAACGTATACCAGTCAAAACACAAGATGAAGGGGAGGCCGCTGTTCTTGAGAAAGGGATCAAGGAATCCAGTGCGTCTGGTTATGCTGGTTCGTGACAAATCTGCAATGGTCATTATGTTTTTGACAAATCTCTACTCATTTTCTCCGTACTCCCAGCCGCCTCAGAAACTGTATACTTTGACGCGATTTTTATTCTAGCTATATACTGACCAAAGGCCCAGACGACGTCCACTTTATACGTCTTCCTGCTCGCGATGGCTTTATATCCCGAGGTGCAAACACGTGCGCAAGCAGAGATTGATTCCGTCATTGGGGAAACACTCGAAAGATTGCCCGACTGGGACGATCGCGCTTCTATGCCCTACATCAATGCCGTCATACTGGAGACGCTAAGGTGGTTCCCTATCGCCCCTCTGGGTCAGCACTTTTGACTCGTCGAACTCCGGTTAGCACGGTTACTGACTGTGGATCCAGGCGTTGCACATGCCGCGGTAAATGACGACATTTACGAAGGCTACTATATTCCAAAAGGTCAGTCTATAGACTGAGAGCCCTATCCCTTTTCTAAAACTGTTTCTTAAGGGGCTACTGTAATGGCCAACGCATGGTGATTCATCATATCAAGTGAACAGAGATCAGACATAACCATTTCTTCTTATGCAAGGTTTATGGCGCGCAATCCAGATAAATATCCTAACCCGACGAGGTTCAAAAGTCGCCGTCGAACAGCCGTCAACACACGGCCCTGCCAGTGATGATATTTCCTTTGTTTTTGGATTCGGAAGGCGTATTTGGTACGAAGTCTAGAGTTTTGCGAATAGACGGGTTTGCCTCACCTTTCAGCAGTGTTGGACGACATGTCGCCGATGCTTCTTTATTCGCCGCGGTTGTGAATATTTAAACTGTTTTCCGGTTGGAACGTGCGCCAGGATGGAATGTCGGGCCTGATGCTGAAGGAGTGAAATGGACGGGGGGCTTAACGACGTGAGTCATCCTTGAGGATTCCTGCAGTGTATCTGAGCCAGCCGATTCAGGCACCCTGTATTCCCGTGCATATTCACCCCTCGCCACACGAAGGAAAGGGTATCGCGGTTGATATAAATGCAATGCTAAGAGCTGTGGGGATATGGTTCTGGGCTGAAATCATGTATTACCTGTGTTTTTAGTGTCGTTGGCTTTCGTTATCCGTCAGCATATTCAAGTTTTCATGGGAAGAGGCCTGCTACCTGCCAAATAGAGGTTAAATGTAAGGCGAGTCCGTTGTATCTTGTGCACACAAGGATCTTGGGAGTCTGTTGGATGGAGAAGTGATATTGCAGTAAGCTATATACATGCGTTCGAAGGAGTAACGTGGTGATAAGCCCGAGTAGCTGCTAGATACGAAAAACAACGGTATTCATGGAGGATAGACAGTCGGATTCGAGCGCTGGAAAGCACGGACTGCTCAACTTGATGCGATGGGATACATTCTAGAAGCTGCGAAGACAAGAGCCGGACGCATGTATGCAATACTGTCGAGGACAGCGGGTATGACAGTAGGGTGGATGCATTACGGTGATGGAGGCGTGGGCACGAACAGCCTTAGAATCTTGTCCTGGGCGTCTATTGAAATGAGGCAAGCCATAAAACGCACCATAGACCCTCTGCAACTTATAAGAGAAGGACATAATCCCTCCAAAGTTTAGCCTCGGCCGTATTCCATACCATCAACATCCAGTAAAATGTCGGAGCTCATTACAATCACCACTCCCCTGCGACGGTTCAAAGGCCATGAAAAAGGCATAACTGCAGTCGCAGTTTTCCCTGATAAACGTCGGATGGTTACGGGCTCGTACGACACAACGGTTCGTCTGTGGGACTTGAAGACAGGTGTTGTGTTAAAGAAGATGGAGGGGCATCGCAATTGGGTGTGGAAATTGGCGGTATCACGAGATGGGCAAGTGATAGCAAGCGGCGATACAAGCGGAGAGGTCATCGTCTGGCACGGAGAAACTGGCGAATTACTCACCAAAATCAAAGCACACTCGTATTATATCTCCTCGCTGGATTTTTCTCCCGATGGAACAGTGCTGGCCACTGGTTCATTGTTCGATGAAATGACGAAACTGTGGAATACCAAAACCTGGCAGCTGCAAGGAGATCCGATCGAGTGTCAATTTGTCAACTGCGTACGGTATTCACCGTCTGGAGAACTTCTTGCCATCGCAACAAACCATGATATTCAGATTTACAATTCAGGCACGAGGAAACGCGTCAAACCATTCAAGGGTCACAAATCATCCAACTTTTCACTCGCGTGGACGCCCGATGGCACACGCCTTCTCACAGGCAGCATGAATGATGATCCTACTATACGCGAATGGGATACAACAACCTGGAAGCAGGTCGGTGATCCTTGGACGGGCCACACTGACCAAATCAATACCATTGCCATTCATCCTGCTGGCACACTCGTTGCGTCCGCATCTAGAGACATCCATGTTCGTCTCTGGCAGCTCTCAGATCGACAAACCATTGCCGTCTTCGAGCACTCATCCATCACGACATGCGTCACTTTCTCTGTGGACGGCAATCACATCTTCAGTGGAGATAAGGATAGGATGATCTCAGAGTGGACAGTACCTCAGGGTATACATCCAAAGGCATGTTTCCGTCTCTGACTCATATACCACAAATAGAGCATGCTTCTTGCAGACTATTGCCACCACGACAGTCCGCGATGCGTGCATAGATGGAGACTTATCTACTGACGAAGAACTACTCATGCAAGATATCAATACCGATGCGAACAACCATACTCCCTACATCCATCGCTCAAAGGCATGTTTCCGTTCTTGACTCATATATACCACAATTAGAGCATGTTTCGTGCAGATCCTAGCCATCACGAGCTCCCGTATTGCATGTCTAAATGGAGACTTATCTACCGCCGAAACACTACTCACTCAAGATATCAACACCAGTCCGAACAACCATACTTCCTACGCCCATCGGTCATTCGTCATGGCGCGAAAATACGACTGGGACCAAGCCCTTCTGGACGCAATCAAGGTGAGAATCATCGCCGCCTTACACAGGACTAACTCGACGGTGACATAGTCCATCAGGATTCAGCCCTCATTGACGGGCTATATCTCCAAGGGTATTGCCCTCTGTGGAAAAGGCCGCGTCCTGGATGCGAGGGCGGCATTTGATGTTGCATCCATGTACACGGACCAGGATTCAGAAATCACTCATTTTCTGCTATTGATCAAGGTATGGTATGTTACATTTGCCTCGCATAATCTTCCCTTCATCGCGTATTTCAGGCCATCGCGCTATTCAATGCAGATCAGCATGATGAGGCAAACCTGCTCCTCAAAGAGCTCGCTACCGGTTGTCCGAATGCTGATACTCTCGCATGTGATATCGTGCAAGTAAGTGTCATCCATGCTTGGTCATCAACACTCATATTTACAACTCGCACATTAGGCATATTTACACGTTCAACTCGGAATCAAAGCCTTGGATGGCGCACGCTATGACGAAGCCGCCGACCATTTCACTGCCGCTCTCGACTCTCGCGATCCATCATCGAAATCGAACATTCATGAAATATATGAGGATTTGGTGGTGGTACGTCAAGATGATACATGTATAACGCTTTTAATAACTGAATCTCTTGTCCAGCTCTTTGGCTGGGACCTGAAGTCCTTATGGCAAAAGGCACGCCAGAAACGCTGTAATGCACTCCTTCGTGCGGGCAAATTCCAAGACGCCGTGAAATCATACCAACACATGATGACTTCGAGTGACGAAATCACCAAAGCCGACTGCTTTGATTGGTCCAACGGCGAGTCAAGTGCCAGTAATGTCGCGCAGGCTACAATTCTCACCTGTATTCTTCTCAGATTTCAAACAAGAATGCAGCGCACTCTGCGCTGCCAACGGAGATAGTGCCTTCGCTGCAAGCGATTACGACAAGGCTATTGATCTATACTCGATGGCGATCGACCTGGATTCTGCATCCGATATCTTCTTTGCAGGTCGCAGCGAGGCAAAGTTAAGTAAAATGCTTTGGGAGGATGCGCTCCTCGACGCGCAAAAGGTGCGATGGCATCCATGTTTTCGTAGCCAATGTTGACTTCGGCGATGCACAGGCCACGGAACTCAATCCTTCGTCTCATGTTGGGTACCGGTTGTCACACTCAGCGCTGCGTGGTGCACAACGTTACGAAGAAGCCATCGAGGCCTTCACAATCATGTTGACCAAGTTGGACGACGCTCCAGAAGTGCAGATACGATGTGAGACATGGAACACTCCTGCATTGTCTCGAAATGCCTATATCATTCTGCAGATCTGCGTCAGCAGTACGTCTGTCCAACGGAAGCAGAAGACGCTATTCGAGGAGCGGTTTGGATTGAACTCAGCAATGCCCCCCTTCGTCTGCTCAACACCTCTACGGGTCTTTTGTGCGACCGAGCAGCACAGCTAAACTCCTTCAAAACAAGTCCAGAGTACAAGGAGCTGTTGTCATCCATAACGAAGCGTTCGGATCTCCAAATGGAGCGCATCAAGGAGGTGGTGGCGATGCACTTCCGTTGCGTTTTGCTATCACATAGGTGGGAAGAAACGGAGGCGCTGCTGCACCACGTCCAGGAAAAAGCGGTGTACGAGCTGGATGGACTTAATGGCACCGCAAAACTGCAGTCGTTCTGTAAAATCGCTCGTAATGCAGGGTATTTCTGGGCGTGGATGGATACATGCTGCATCGATAAGAGCAACAACGTCGAGGTTCAAGAATCGGTCAATTCCATGTTCGTCTGGTACCGCCACTCAGCGCTCACCATAGTCTACCTATCCGATGTTTCTCCTTCATCCCAGCCCGGCGCACTGGGAAGGAGTGTTTGGAACGAGCGAGGATGGACCTTTCAAGAATTCGTCGCTCCGAAAGTCGTTATATTTTATCAGAACGACTGGTCATTATATCTGGACGATCGCTCTCCCAACCACAAAGAATCCCTAGCAATCATGGAGGAGTTGGAGGGTGCGACGGGAATAAATGCACAGGCCCTGATCTCCTTCCGTCCAGGGATGAGAGACGCTCGAGAGAAGCTGCAATGGGCATCAAAACGTGTCACAACGATGCAGGAAGACATTGCATACTCGTTGTTTGGTATCTTTGGCGTCCACCTGCCTGTCATCTATGGCGAGAAGAAGCAAAATGCGCTTGGGAGGCTCCTACAGGAGATCGTCGCTAGATCGGGCGACATCACTTCCCTGGACTGGGTCGGACAATCGTCCGAGTTCAATAGTTGCCTTCCAGCCGACATCATCTCATATGCGGCCCCGCCATGCTCCTTACCATCATTGTCTGAAGATGAGATTCAGACAGCGGTCTCTTCGTTGCGAAACATTGTTCCCGTGGATTCGGCTTCAAAGTTGTATAACATGCTCGAGAACATGAATGCTCCGCTCTTTGCAAACTGCAGACTCCGTCTGCCTTGCATCGCATTCCGTGTCACGGAAGTCAAACGAAGGCGGGGTCTGGCTGCCCATTCCACGTATGGAGTGAAAGCCGATGGGCTTCGGGACTTGCTGATCACCACGGACGAGACCCTAATTCAATTCTCGCGCGCAAAGCCCACTCAGCAGACGTTCTTTCTTGTCCGTCCCTGGGACCGTCGTCTCCTTGGGCTGCCTGATTTTTCAGAGCAGCTTACCTTTGCAGACGAAGGGGAGAGCGTAAGGGATTGGTCCGAGTCCGAGTCTGGATCAGATGACACTGACGAGCGGTCCAGCGATTCACCCGGAGAAGAGGAATTGTCGGTTGACTCGGACGCTCACTCGCGATCATTGCGTTTGATGGTTCACCTTGGGCAGGCTTTCAGCGCACTTTTGGTAGCGCAGCAACGCGTTGGAGAATACAAGAGGGTCGCGTCGGACCATAGTATCATTGCGCAGGTGAAAGACCCGGCTTCGATTGACATTATGAACATCAGGACCCTAGACATATTGTAGCTGATGGTTTTTTTACAACACGTCGACGATCACATTATCATATCCTCATTATATATATCATAGATACCCTGCAAATGACCCTCACAAATACAAGATTTCAAAATTTGACATGCAGAAGCACCATGTGATCTCGAGGTGGTTGCAGAGGATACTGTGTGTCTGGATTAGAGTCAGCACGTGTACTTGGACCGTGCCATTGATGATGGAAGAAGAACATCCTGCCATCCGAATCACCACGGCTAGTCAAATATTTAACAGCCATAGACATAGTGTATTTAGTTTTTTTTCTTGCTAGCTATAAAAAATTGGGTCCGGTTCGCGTTGGAACCGAAAAAAAACCGAACCTGACCGCAAAGGTTCGTCGAGAAAGGTAGAACCGGTCCTTGGTCCCGGGCCGGTTCTCGGTTCTCGTCAAACTGCCTCTGAATGATGGCCACCGTGGACGGTGACAGCAACAGTTTAAGCTATCCACCAACTGTTCAAGTAGTTCACAGCTTGCAGCTTAATCCTGCGAATGGTGATCGCTCGAAAGTCGAGATAGTATACCGACTCTAAATATGGGAGGGAAAATGGTTGGTTCAATAACAAGGGAGTCGAGCCTACAAGGTACTCGATCTCAAATCCATCATGATCTGCTCGGCTTACCTCTCCCTAGGTATAATTATCATTATGTATGTCAATTTTGGCCGATTAAACCAACCTATTACTCGACCAGTGGGTTCCACATTGTCAACCATCGGTGGCACCTGTCCAAAGAGCAGACTCCGGTGCAGCCTTGCAAAGCGAACACCGTGGGGAAGGCTTAATGGGCTCTGGTGATCGTACACTTGCTATGTACTTCAAGTTAGAACACCGACTTCAACACTGCTGACGCTGACAGCAGGATGCCGATACCACGAAGTAAAACGATTGAAAAAGACATCCTCCTGACGTGTTTCCTATTCGCTTGCTGAACGCTCGAGAGTGAAATGTAGCCATTTTCATACGCTGACACAAACTTTTACGTTTCTCCGATCGAAGGTGTAACCTGTCTTCCATGAAGTGAACACAAGTATGTAAGTATACTCACGAATTCGTCAACGAATAGATGTTTGACACTGAACCGGACGTGCCGAGCTCTCGATCAAATTTCTAGCTCGTCAATTTGAACCAGAAGCCACCAGTGACGTAGTAAATTCCATCACTCAAACCGCTGACAGCACGAAATATAAATTGAACGCGGTCGTATCCCCAACAACCTTAGGACAAGTACCCTGAAACTTTCGGTGAGCAGTCCTGCATGCAGTAACGCTGTGTCCGTTTCACTCAATCGACATTTTGCATCAGTCCCTTCGTGTACTCAACCGCACAATCAAACTTTTGTTAGTGTATGGTTTACTCGCATTAACAGTCATCGCTGAAGTACTGATACATAGCCCTGCTAGACATCATGAAGCCCATTCAGTTCGCCATCCTTGCCATCCTCGCCGCTGTCGCCGGGGTGAAGGCAGCCTCAACTACTACCAACGATGGAGCCTGCGACGATTCGCAATGCTACACTAGAGCGCCTGCCTGCAGTGATGATGCGATAGCCGTCGAAATTAGCTCAGATTGCTGGACCTGCTGCGATATACCTGATGCTTCGGTCAAGCTTGAGAAGCTCCACAAATTACTACACGAAGTTGTTTGAACACGCTGTAGTCGTCGTCAGATGCTTAGGTTCACGTTTAAATACATAGGGTTCCACATCTTTGATATCTTTCTATAAGCTGCAGAGCATATAGACGTCTTTTACTTTCACTCCGGGAGGGCAAGAATCAGCTGAAGATGCGTGTCACTGGAAGTACTCTGAAGTATGAGCCGAATAAGAAGCATACAGCATGCAGTAATATATATGAGAACTCGGTGAAATAATGAAGATCTCCAGGACCCAGAGACAATAGGCTTCCTAACTATCTTCTAAGAGCTGACGTTTTTTACAGATGGCAGGAACCTAAATCAAACCAAAGACAAGTGTCCTTATCTATGGCGTATCCCTAAAGCCCATCAAGTACTGCATAATCTGGAAGGCAGCCTGAATTATTGGTCTCTGCGTTAGAGCGCGTTTGGTTCAAGAACAGTCGACTTACTACTGGCGCAAATTGTGGAACCCTGCAGAATACATTTAAGAAGCGGGACGCTGTTACAGCGGAAAGAGCTCACATGTGTCCACTCAGGACTACTTCGTAATATGTGAGTCCCCGCTCTGAGTGCATAGTCCCGAAGGCACCCACACCATCGACAAGGAAACTGTCATCGGCGATAGGTGTCTGGAATCCTTGTAATCCGTTCCCTTTGAATAAAATGAGTGGTTTTTGCACCTCGACGCTTCTCCTCACTCACAAGTCATACTACAAACAATTCCTATTGATTGGATTCAAGTGATAGTCAAGAACGCACGTACTTTTGAATGACGATTCTGGTTCTAAGTAATAGAATCATGCATCAGGATATAGAAGAACTTGCGGACGCAGGCATACCCGTCAGAAATGAGAACAAAGTCGGCGAGACCGTGCACGATGACAGTCCGCTTGTTCTTCTCTATAACATTTGGTAACACGGTGAAAGCAGGGGGCAAGCTACCGTCTCCATTTGGGAAGACATTGATATTGGAACACTCCGTCCACTCTGTGTCAACAGGTGCATGGATGGCTTGTTTCACATCCGTACGGTCGAAGTAGAGTGGAGTTTGTGACTGTATGATCGAACCCCTGTCTCTGCGTAAACTGAAATGTCAAGTGCATTATTTAATTACTTACGGGGCACCGAGGACATCCCATAGGACGGGATACTGAAATGGAGAACGTTAGTAGCTGATAAGCAGGATTCTCTTCGACTCACAGTGTCCCAGATGCGATATATATTGAAGGCGGGGTTGATGATCAACGCATTATTGAAAATGTCGTCCCAAACATCACAGCCCTCAGCCGCCTCGACTGAGTCCCCTGGGAGAGGAAGAAGGCCGGCTGGAGGATATGTCACGTATTTGTCTATGTAGCCAGTGTAATTACACCTCGCGGCCTTCTTCTCGAGGTGATTCGTGAACGTTTGACTGGGCACGATTGGTGAGTGACCTGTAAACCCGACTCAAGTGAAATAAACTGACTTGAAGGAGAATAGACCAGCATATTTGTTCACGAAATCTACTGCAGGGATCTGCTCTTGTACCACGTCCCATGATAGTGAAGCTATTCTCCGTAGATAAGCCCTTGAGATAATGCAGAGCGATTGAGTATATTACTTACGATCACTGATCCACATGCCTTGCAACGAGAGGTCTAATAGAGTGGGATTCTCGTAGATATAGTTCGCAAGATCTTCAACGATCTTTTAGATATGCTCTTAGAAAAATAACGACAGACTGACAAGGGACGTATGTTCCTGCGTACTGGTTACAATGAGTATGTTGTCTAGACAGTCTTCCATAAGAACTTACGCTTTCACCCGTCAGATACAATTGCTTGCCTTTCAGTTCCGCAAAGACCTCCAGGAACTGTTGCAAGAAACCGACGAGTTGAGCAGCAACGTCTTCCTCATTCTGTGCATTGGGAACGCCTTGAGAAAACCCCGTGCCAACAGGTTGCTCAACCCAAAGGACAGAAGAAAGGTTGGTCCAGCTGTATTCATTCACCGTTGGTTTGGCTTGACCCAAGGACCAACTGAAAGGCTTCAAACTGCTCAGTGAGATGTGTCGTAAGATCCGAGGGAAGGGGCTTACTCCATTTTCCTGCAGTAAACCTTCGAGTGAAGAGCATCCAGGGCCTCCATTTGTCCTGAAGGAAGAGCAAGTCATATCAGCAGTAGATTAACACTGACCACTTTCAATCACACCAAAAAATCAAATCGTCAAGACTCCCATCGGGACCGGGAGGGAAAAACCAGAAGAAGAGCTGTCGTTCGAATCAGTAGAGAACACGCACGACTCATGATTGACATACCTGACGTGTCTCATCAGGGCTGTCGCTTATGGGCAACAGGCCTGACCAGCTGGGACCAACATCGAAGTCGACCAGAGGGAGGGATGTACCATCGACATAAAATTCTGCATGAACATATCAGACACTGACGTTTACTGCAGGAGCATTTCATCCACCTGAGGCCTTGGGGTTTGTGAAGGTGATGTTTTGAACACCCTTGCGCTCAACGTCCTCAGTTCCTCCCGTCTCCACGGTCCAACTGGTTTGCCAATGCTGGGCTGCTTCAAGCTGGCGCTCCCTCAGCACATCCTTGGTTACAATACGAGCGCTAGCGGCAGTGACTGCTAGCAGAGCGACGGAAAGACGCAACATTATCGAGTAAACCTCTTGAGGTAAGCCTGGTATTAGCCAGGTGTGACAGGAAAACAGCAGCGACGTCGCCCAGCGTTTGAATGCATAATGAGCCTTTTTATGGTGGATCCGACTTAATTGTCAAATCCGTGTGCGTTTTCTGTGACATATTCATACAAGCATGGGAGGCTCCCGCGGAAGATGTGCACATGACTCGGATGTGTTCTAATAAATGATGACCATCACTTGTTATAGGGCTGGCCCGAGCCCGGGAATGCAGGCTGAATGCGTCAAGTTACTTTGAATCAGTTGACAAACATAAGTGGGTACCTAACTTAAACGTTAACGACTGGTCAAAAGTTTTTGTCGGCGAGCCTGCGAACTGCCTGCGAGTGACATGCCGACATGTGACAGGTGTCATTACGTGCATGGGATACTTCGCGACGCCCTCTGAGCGGGCGGGCGAGAATATGTATTCTGTTCCAGCCAGCATATGGGAGGCTCGCCAAAGTCCTGATCAATTGAACCCTAACTAGTTCCTGTTGCCCTTAACTCTTTCGCATTCAACACTTCAGCTTCAGAAGATGCGACGGACATGCTGACCAGTGACCACCACTTATCATCCCAACATCACTCATGCGGTAATTCCTATGATAGACGCTTCGGTAACCTGAAGTCATCCGCTGAGTATTCAAATACACTTCAGCATGTCGCTCGAACACAACAAATCGGTGTTTGATATATTCTACGAACCTGACGAGCTCGTTCAGGCAGTGGTCGGCGGTCGCGACTCACTACATCCGAGTCAACTTGGTATCTATTGTGACTGTCACGGTTCCCGAATGAGAGTACGGTAGGATTCCACTATTTTAGGAAATTAATGCTGCAGACATACATCTTGTTGTGCAGTTCGGTATTACAACGAACATTCCTGAGCATGAGCAGCGAGCGCGTTCACTGATCGTGGCGACAAATGCGATGAAGCGATGCCTGAAATCAAGAGCTTGTAGATATTGCTGTCGATCTCGGTCACGATTGCGGCTGGAAAATAGGTCGAGGAGTACGTACAACTCGTCTATTTCTGCTGTGTTAGACTTTCAACCCTGCAGATTTGCCTGCGACCCAATCTTTTCCGGCGGTATCGATTCCCTAACTATACTGCGTCCAGGATGGAATAGGACCTTAGACTGGGCGGTGGAATCCAATGGAGGCATCGACATCGTGGACTAGCTAGAATGGAGAGAGTGAGGCTGGCCCTGGATTTCTAGTCACGTTAGTTAGGTCTCAAATTTCAAATTTCAGGCCTCGTGTACTGAGCGTCTAACGAAGCAGGTTGAGGCTGTGAATAAGCACAAAAAGGCCCGGTACACCCTGCAACTTAGATCAAGACGCCCACAAGCTCAACACCATCCACCTCGAGCAGAATGATAGAAGCAGAACGAATCACGACGGCTATTCGAACATTTCAAGGTCATGAAGAAACTCTCTTTGCAGTTGCAGTCTTCCCCGATAGATGCCGTATGGTGACGGCCTCAGGCGACAAGACGCTTCGTCTGTGGGACTTAGAAAACGGCGTTGTATTGAAGATAATAGAGGGGCATCGCTTCGCCGTACGAAGAGTTGCAGTATCAAGAGACGGGAAATTCATAGCAAGCGGTGATGATGGTGGAGAGCTCATCACCTGGAACAGAGACGGGGAACCTCTCATTCAACCCACCAAAGTCCACTCCAGACCGATATGGTGGCTCGATTTTTCCCCAGACAGCACGTTTTTGGCGAGTAGCTCATGGGACGCCACAGTAGAGTTCTCGAACACAAAAACATGGCGGGTGCAAGGAGATCCAATCAGTTGTGTTGCTGGAGTGTTCTGCATCCGGTACTCGCCGTCTGGTAAATATCTTGCCATCGCAACATTCAAGCATATCCAAATATGGAATCCAGGCAAGAGGGAATGCATTACAAAGTTTGAGGGTCAGTCTGCGTTCAATGGAGCGGGAAATGCTACACTTGCATGGACGCCCGATGGCAAACAGCTTATCTCCAGTGGTAACGAACGTGATCCCACCATACGGATCTGGGATTCGTCAACCTGGAAGCAGGTCGGTGAGCCCTGCAAGGGTCATGCTGGGAATGTCTACATGATTGCTTTGAACTCTGCTGGCACCCTTCTCGCGTCCGCATCTGATGACCACCAGGTTCGCCTTTGACAGCTTTCGGATCGACGAACCATTGCCATATTCAAGCACACCAATGAGGTGTTTTGTGTCACCTTCTCCGCGGATGACAAGCACATCCTGAGTGGAGGAAGAGATAAAATGATGTCAAAGTGGGCAGTACCTTTGCTGGAGGACAGTCTGGGGGACCAAGCACCAGATGTAAGTTTTGTTCATTTTCTATCCCTTCTTCATCTCATTTTATTCAAGGATGCGTTACGGGAAGATGCCCCGAAAGAACAAGTGGCAGATAGTATTAGTAATGTGAGTTCCCGTTCATTGCCCGTCTTCTTGTTGATCCTCAATCTTGATGCTAAGGCTCGACAGTCTGATTGCGAGGCTTGTTTCTAGCCCTCGCTTCTACCACGTAACCTCACCATCCATGATGCAGATCCTCACCGTCAACGCGACAACCCGCGATGCATGCATAAGCGGGGACTTGCTCACTGCAGACCGGCTGTTAACACGAGATATCGGGGCTGCTGGCAACGACTACAACTCTTATGCGAGTCGCTCGTTTGTCAAGGTAAGAAATTCAGACTGGGACCGCGCACTTGACGACGCGCTCAAAGTGAGATGCACCATTCCGTAACACGAAGTAACTTACATGGTGATATAGAGCATCAGTATTCAGCCATCCTTGATGGGCTGTATCTCCAAGGGCATCGCCCTCTGTGGAAAACAACAGTTCCAAGATGCGATGAAAGCATTTGACCTCGCGTTCATGTATGTGGACGCAGACTTGAACAAAACTCGCCTTTTACTCTTGATCAAGGTACGTCAATTGTGTCTTGTGTGCTCGCTACTTACGCGACAACTGTCAGGCCATCGCCCTTTTCAATGCAAATCAACGTGACGAGGCAATTCTGCGCGTCCAAGAGCTAGCTACCACTCGTCCTAGTGTGAATTCTCTTGCGTGTGGTATCGTGGAAGTGAGTGCTTTTGGTACAATCAACTCCTGATTCATACGTCGATGCTGATTTTGCGAACCTCGCACTTCAGGCTTATCTACACGTCCAGGTGGGAATGAATGCATTAGACGACGCACGTCACAACGAAGCTGCTGGCCATTTCACTGCTGCTGTCAATACTATTGGATTCTCGTCCACGTCGGCCATCCATTCGAAATATGACATCTTTGTGGTGGTATGTCGACTGAATATTTTTATTTCACGTCAGACTGAGTGCGTGCGCAGCTATTCGGTTGGGACCTCAAGTCGTTGTGGCTTACTGCACACCAGCATTGGTGCCGTTCGCTCTTTCTGGCAGGTAGATTTGTAGAGGCCCTCAGATCTTACAGACACATGATAAATGCAAGCGATGAACTTACGAAGGCAAGCTGCCTTGCCTGGTCCGCTGGTAAGTTTTCGTGATTTTAATGGGGTATCATTCTCAACCACATCTCATTTAGCTTTCAAGCAAGATTACAGCGCGCTTCATGCTGCCACCGGAGTTGCTGACCTTGCTACAAAGGGAGATGATGCCCTCGCTGCGGGTAATTATGACAGGGCTATCGAGTTATACTCCGTGGCAATCGATCTCGATTTGGCCACCGATGGCATCTTTGCGAACCGCAGCAAGGCGAGGTCGCAAAAAATGCTATGGGACGATGCGCTTCTGGATGCACAAACAGTATGATTTCATTTGTTATTTTATAGTCCATGCTCATTTTGCGAACATGTAGGTCATCAAACTGACCCCTTTATCTCATATTGGATACGAGTTGGGGTATACAGCGCTTCATGGCGCACATCGTTATGATGAAGCGATCGACACATTCCAAACCATGCTCTTCAAGTTAGAAAACGCTCCTGACACGCAAATACAAAGTATGTCCCCAAATAACCACGTCCCTAAACATGCCTGACTCTTTTTCCAGAGCTGCGCCAACAATATGTCCATCCATCCGAAGCAGATGGAGCTATTCAACAGACTGTCAAGGCTCAACTCGACGACGCCCCACATCGTCTGCTTAATACCTTTACTGGGCGCTTATGCAATCGAGAGGCACAGATCGATGCCTTCAAAGCGAGCCCAGAGTACAAGGAGCTTTTGTCATCAACGTTGATGCACGCAGATCTCCGAATGGAACACATCAAAGATGTCGTGGCATCGTACTTCTGTTGTGTCACGCTATCGCATCGTTGGGAAGGAAAGGAACCACTGCTGCACGACGTTCAGGACAAGGTCGTTGATGAGTTGAATCCAGTTGGCAGCATCATGAAATTGCAGTCTTTCTGCAAAACTGCTCGTGCTGCGGGGTATCGCTGGGGGTGGATTGATTCATGTTGCATCGACCAGGCTAACAATGTCGAACTCCAAACATCCCTCAATTCCATGTTCGAATGGTATCGCACCTCAGCACTCACGATGGTCTACCTATCGGATGTTCCGCCTTCGTCGAAGTCGGGCGCACTGGCAAGGAGCGCATGGAACACGCGAGGGTGGACCTTACCAGAATTCCTCGTCCCGGAAGTCATCCGCTTCTACCAAAGTGACTGGACCCCGTATCTCAACGACTGCTCTCCCAACCACAAACAGTCTGTCGCAATCATGCAGGAGTTGGAAGATGCGACAGGGATAGATGCACAAATCCTTGTCGCCTTCCGTCCTGGAATGATGAACGCCCGCGAGAAACTGCAATGGGCGTCGACACGTGTCACCACAGTGGAGGAAGACATCGCATACTCCTTGTTTGGCATCTTTGGTGTTCGGCTCAATATCATGTACGGTGAAAAGAAGCAAAATGCACTCGGGCGGCTCTTGGAGGATATCATCGCTGTGTCTGGAGACATTACTGCCCTGGACTGGTTTGGAACACCATCCGAATTCAACAGCTGTCTGCCTGCCGACATCACTTCATACGAAGCCTCACCGTACACGCCGCCATTTATGTCTGAAGATGAGATGCGGATATCGGTCTCGTCGCTGAAAGACACTGTGACTGTCGAGTCAGCTCTGAAATTGTACAGCTCGCTCGACCGCCTGAGCGCTCCACGTTTTACTCACCGCCGGCTGCTTCTACCGTGCATTGCATTCCCTGTCACAGAAGTTAGACGGAGACCCATTGAACACAAGGAGACCTACTTCACGTATGAAGTCAAGGCAGACGGGCTTCATGACCTGCAGATCACCACGGAGGACAGGTTGCCTCAGTTCTCGCGAGGAAGACCCGCTCGACAGTCATTCTTACTTGTCCGTCCCTGGGATCGTTGTCTCCTCGAGCTGCCAGCGCCTGATTTTGCAGACGATACGGAGAGCATGGGTGATTTTGCTCTTCCTGGGTCGCCTAGAGAACAGGACCCAGTTGATTCAGAATCGATCCAGCGTGCAATGCGATTGATTGTTCGCCTTGGACAACCGTTCAGCGCATTCCTACTAGCGCGGCAACGCGGCAAAGAATACAAGAGAATCGCATCAGATCATGATATCATTGCACAAGTCAAAGACGCGAATCATGTTGACAGTATGATGGACTCCATTAGGATACCAGAGATATTGTAGTCGTAGTACGTACTCATTTGTTTTGATAGAGATAGATCCTTCAGCAGTTTTCATTCTCGATATTTCCTCCTGTACTACATTTGTACTATTTACGGACAAAGTTGAAAGGTCGGCCCTCCGCCTAGATTCGTAACCAGGCTGGTCACGGGCCTACCCTCCGCCATGGGTCGGTTCAGCCATGTGGATAGGCAGAGATGTGCAATACGTATACTGAGCAATGTATTGGCCGCCGATAGACAGATGTTTCTGACTGGGATCCATTTCATTCGTGAATTAATAAACTTAGGACAGAGATTCTGTGCCATTAATAATCTCATCATTTCCTGGTAGTAGCAGTAGTACTGCACGTGCCTTTGAAAGGTCAACGTTTTAACGACTGATCAAAAGCTTTTGTCCAGCCTGATCGAGATCATCAATCAAGGGACTTGGACGCGCTGAAAGTGACACACAGACGCGTGACAGAACGTGTCATTACGAGTGACAGAATGTGACGCGACGTGCTTCTGCGTTCCGGGTGTGAACGTTTGAACACTGTTAGTCTGTTACACGACCAAATCACGCGCACCACTGTTATAGCACGGACGACTATGGCACCCGTGAAGTCTCCAAAATCTGCTGCACCGACAGGTAAAGATCTTCGCTCTTTCTTCGGTGGTGGAGGAGATAAATCCGTGAGTGTCTTCCTCCATCCATCTATGACTTCTGCGGACTCCTAGCACAAGACGACTACCAAATCCGACCGCACAATGATGCCTGACAGTGATGGCACCCCGCAGAAAAAGAGTCTCAAGCGAAAAAACACTGTCGTTATCTCGAGCGATGAGGAGGATGAACCCGTTGTGCCAAAGAAGAAAGTGGCCGTCGCTGCGAAGTCTGCACCGAAGGTAGTTGCCTCGGCCTCGAAAGTGGCTGCACCGAAAGCAGTTGCGTCAGCATCTACTTCAAAAGCTACCGCACCGAAGGTAGTCGCGTCAACATCAACCTCGAAAGCAACTACATCGACAAGCAAGACCAAGACGAACGGAAAGGCACCTGTCAAATCGAAGAAATCAAAGGATGATGAGTTTGTGGTAGATTCTTCCGAAGAAGAAGAAACAGAGGAGAGTGAGGACAACTATGAGGACGAGGAAGACGTCAAACATGAGAAGAAGGGTAATGCCAAGCCGCCCCCAAAGGCAAAGCTGCCCCCAAAGGCAAAACCGCCCCCCAAGAAACCTCCCCCGCAGAAAGTACCTGCAACGAAGGCAGCAGCCAAAGGAAAGGATAAAGAAGAGAACGCGGAGCCGCCCGCCAAACCCTTCAAGTGCGCTGACTTTCTGTGCTCGTGTTTCTGTCTCTGAACTGCGTGGACTTAGTTGGGCTGCTGCAAAGGCCGCAAAATCAGCCGGTCCGTCCGCCCCTGGTTCGAAACAGGTCCCTGAGCCCAAGTCATCCAACTGTCTCGAGGGGCTAGCCTTTGTCTTTACCGGCGAACTCAGCAGCTTCTCTAGAGACGAGGCAATAGACTTGGCGAAGCGGTTTGGGGGGTGAGTTATATTTACATCTACAGTATCTACAAAACTTTATAATTTTATAGGCGTGTTGTAGGGCAACCTTCGTCAAAGACATCGTTTGTCGTCCTGGGTGACAACGCCGGTCCTTCGAAGCTCAATGCAATCAAAAAGCACCAACTCAAGACGCTTTCCGAGGACGAATTCCTTGATCTAATCGCCACCCGCCAAGGACCAGGCGGATCAGGTGGCGGCGAGTTAGATGACAAGACCAAGAAGAAGATGGCAAAAGAACAGGAAACGATCAAGCAGGCTGCGAAGGAGCTCGAGCGGAGGGAGAAAAAAGCGTCAAAAGATGCCGATGAATCTGGCAGGTCAATATGCACTCCTTTTTCACCTAGCCCATCCGCTAATTCTTACCACAGCTCTAAAACCGACGTCTCAAACCAGCTGTGGACAACAAGATACGCTCCTCAATCATTAAAGGAGATCTGCGGCAACAAAGGACAGGTGGATAAACTACAGCAATGGCTTCACGACTGGTAGGTCTGCAGGTTAATGTCTCTCAAAGCAAACGTAAGTATTCTCGCAGGTCAGATAGTTTGAAGTGCAGTTTCAAAAAGCCGGGGAAAAACGCTATGAACGTCTACCGCGCAGTAATGATCACTGGCCCGCCTGGTATAGGTAAGACTACTAGTGCGCATCTTTGCGCCAAGCTCGAAGGCTTCACGCCCATCGAGCTTAATGCAAGTGATGCGCGCAGTAAAAAGTTAGTCGAGGTAAATCGGGAGTGCAGCTTACCCTTTCACTGTGCTCACAAATGTGCAGAGCGGTATGAACATCAGCAACCTGTCGTTAGACGGATGGATGGGTGGAAACGATGTTTGTTGTTTCCATGCTCTTCGTCACGTCGATCTAATATGTCACTAGGCGACAAACGCAGCAGGAGTCAGAATCACCGATAAGACGTGTCTCATCATGGACGAAGTCGACGGCATGTCCGCTGGTGACAGGGGCGGCGTTGGCGCTCTCAATGCCTTGATCAAGAAGACAAAAGTATGTTTTGATCCGTCCACTCGAGTAAACATCTTACCTCGTTATTCAGATCCCTATTATTTGTATCGCTAACGATAGAGGCGCCCAGAAGCTGAAGCCACTCATCGCGAATACTTTTGGCATGCCATTTAGACGGTATGTTGAACTCGACCTCGGCCGTAACAGGAGCTCACTACAGTAACAGGCCCGAGGCTCAAGCTGTCCGATCACGCATAATGACGATCGCGTACAAGTAAGTTATCCTTCAATTACATCGACATCATGGTGACGTCGTTGACTAGGGAGAAGATGAAAATTCCCGCCAACGTCGTCGATCAGCTTATCAGTGGTTCTCAGTCAGATATTCGACAAGTTTTGAATATGTTGTCGACGTGGCGATTATCTAGTAGTAGCATGGACTTTGACGAGGCAAAGAATCTGTACGTGTGCTCTTCGTCGTTTGCTATGCACTAATCATACTATAACACAGTGCAAAGATCAACGAAAAGTACACTATCTTGACGCCGTTCGACGTGACGTACAAAATTCTTGGTCCGTACGCGTTTGGGCCGAACGTTCGAGAGACACTGGGTGACAAGATGGAATTGTACTTCCACGATCACTCTTTCGTCCCCCTTTTCATCCAGGTAAAACGCACTGTTCCCGGATGCACAGAATTGCTCATCCCCTCGTCAGGAAAATTATTTAAAGACTCAACCTGTCAAGGTTCGGAACCTCGAAGGGCCTCCAAAGATGTTGAAGCAACTCGAGTTGATGGATCAAGCTGCATCTTCTATATCTGATGCCGATCTCGTCGATGCTCTGATTCACGGGTGAGCAGACCATATAGCTCTTTCTATCGGATCTTATAATGTCCTTCAGACCAGAACAACACTGGTCATTGATGCCATTACATGCGGTGTGCTCGATGGTGCGACCTGCGTCATTCCTGTTTGGTCCAGGCGGCGGATATGGCGGCCAAAACCCAATGACGTTCCCTCAGTATGTTTCCCCCGGATCACTACACACGTCATTCATATGATACTCGCACAGGTGGCTAGGACAAAATTCGAAACAGAACAAGCTTAATCGACAACTAGGAGACGTGCAGGTCCGAATGCGGCTCAAAGTCTCTGGGGACAAGCACGAGATCCGACAGTCGTACATCCCTGCGCTGTTCCCTCACATCGTTAAGCCATTGATAGACCGAGGCGCTGTGAGTCTTGTCGCTTACTCTTCCTCCTAGCTGCTTATCATGTCCTTGATAGGCCGCTGTCGACGACGTCATTGAACGGATGGATGAATATTATCTTTCCCGTGAAGATTGGGACACCGTCGTTGAGCTTGGTGTGGACACGCAGAAAGACGACGTCGTTAACAAGCTCATCAAACCTGCGACAAAGACATCGTTTACGAAGAAGTAAGGTTTATCAATTAACCGCGTCTGATTGTCGCTAATGGCAAGTCCAGGTACAACAGCACGGATCATCCAATACCCTTCCACAAAGCAACAGACCTCGGGAAAGTACCTAAAAAACTCTCAGGAGGTCCCGCGCCTGATTTAGAAGACGTTTTCGATGTGCGTACCCTAAGCATGATCGTCACTGTGCACTAACATCTCTTTCAGTTGGACGATGAAGTCGTCGATGTGTCTGATGACGAAAAGAAGAAAGTTAAGGATGAGGATGAGGTCGCTGCTGATAAGCTGTTCCAGGCTAGTAAGCCCAAAACTCAGAGTCGGAAGGGTAAGACGACTACAGTCAAAGGCAAGAAGGCTCAGAACTTTATGTGATTTAACTTTCGTGGACTTATAATGACTGGCTTTTCACGGAGTGCTGGCTCGTTTTGATTGCAAGCCTGAGGACGACGCAGTTGCGCGCGTGGGGAAGGGCCAACTCCCGTGACACCGTCCGCTACATTGGAGTCGATCACCTTTCACTCATCCCTTCTTCCAGTTTTCTGTCGTGTTTACTCAGTTGGCGTCCTTGATTCTCCACAATCTGTCTGCAACTCAATGACCTAGTACTCATACATGCAACTTATATTATAACTTGATGATTTCTTTGGCCTTGAACTTTCGATCAGATCTGAAATAATGTGAGTTGATGATTTAATCCAAGACAAAGCATGGCTATTTGAATCCTAACCACCTAGTATACTCGAACAGGCAACTTGAGCCGAATTGTATTGTATTTGAGACAGCAGAATATTTGGGGACGCAGCCCTGGCTGCGAGCTAAACCCCAGCGATTACCAAAAGCGACATTGTTGTTTCGATTCTGGTGGATGTCTTTCCGAATGTCTTTCCGAAGCGAAACCTTGACAGGATCTTCCCCAGCAGTGTGCGCCAACGCAAACACAACGTCGAGGTCTTTTATGATACAATTAGCCAAGGAACTGGACAGAAGACACGCAAAGCTTGCCTTCTAAAGAGCGACCGCCTGTTTCGGGAAAGAAAAAGTAAACAACCGGAACAATAGCTGCATTCAAGGCTGCGAAAACGATGTAGGTTCTCCAAGAGATGTTGTTAAAGGATGGGCCAACAACCATCACGACGACGAAGTTGAAAGTCCAGTTTGACGCTGGGAAAAGAATAGGTAAGTTAAAATTATCTCCATGTCTTGGCCTACGAGAGTGACAAACCCGTGCTTAGTGCATTTGCTTGTGCACGGGTTCTGAGCCCGGCAAGCTCAGCACACTAGAAATCAATAAAGAAAATATCAGATCAAGAAAGATTGAAACTGCCGTTGCTGTACTCACGTACAACCAGGCCATTCCGAGCCACCCAATAGCAAAAAATGTGTTAAAGCCGAATAACAGGACTACGCTCACGATCTGCGCGGGTCCATTGTTGATATATCCTAAGATAGCCAAGAGCAGCATCACGATGGATTGACCGATGGCTCCGATCAGCATGAGTTGACGCCTGCCAACATAGTCTATCGCATAATAAGCAATAAAAGAGGCAAGAAAATATTCTGTGCCATTGGCAGCAGCGGTAATCCGCGCGTTGACATCGGAGAGACCAAGACGCTGGAATAAGATGGTCTGCGTGATATCAGTATTGCCACAGTAGATCACGCGGTGGTATAACATACAGCGTAACTGTTGAAAGCGCATTTTTAGATCACGACAAGTTACATCATGAGGCTGAAATACCCACTAGGTAACGAGGTTGATGCCGGTCAGCTGCTGCATCATCTGACATACCACAGCAATGACTGTTCGCCTAAAGTTCTGGCTGCGACCTCCGGTAATGAGTTCACGTAGTGAACCTTGACCAGTAGTAGATGTTTCAACAGCAACAGCCTCACGAATGCCATAGTAGGTGCGCTGAACTTCTGGATCAGACGGAGGTTTGTCTTCCATTGCGGATATAACGGCCATCGCTTCTGCGTTCCGACCATGCTTTACCAACCTGAGATTCTGATCAGCTTCGCAAAAACCACAGAGAATGACAAGAACTCACCATCTCGGTGACTCAGGAAGCTTACGTAGCGTGTCAGATCGAATCCGTTAGTACAAGTATGCACATTTTTAGGGGGAGAGAACCCACAAATCCGATGCATGCCACCACAATAATTTCAAACACTAACTGCAGTGATATCGGAACTCTCCACTGAGCAGACGACCAATTCACGAAGAATCTGATTTGATCGTTTTTATGGGTCAGTCAAGCATAACCTGGGTATGACACTGAAACGTACAGCGCTAAATCAATCCACTAAAGAACCACGTCAGAAAAATGAACGAATGAAAATAACGGCTCGCGTACATAGCTGTAGGACAGCAATCAATTTAACAAAATAAATAAATCCAATAACGCACTCACGCAATGGCCACTCCAGCCACAATCAGAGTCCCCTCCATCATAATCCTAGAAAAGTTCTGTGAGTCATTTATCGTATTGCATATGAATGGCATACATTCGACCCCTCTTTGCGGAAGGGGAGAGCTCCGCATGATATGTTGGCACTGTCGATGTCTACAAACTTGTTTCAGCAGGACTTTGGAGCCAATAATAAACACCACTGACTATCAGACCAGTTCCGCAGCCTGTAAAGATACGAGCAAAAATCAAGTGTGCAAAAGAAAATGCAGTCGTTTGCAGAATTGCCCCTGAGGAATTCAGCTGGTGCTCTTAACGCAATAGAATTCGCCTACCGATCATCATTATACTGCCTCCTAAAGCAATTGTTCTACGGCGACCGAGCTTATCTCCAACCCAAAGATTGGACAGAGCACCGAAGAGACAGCCTACTTCCTGCATTGTATAAGCACAGAAGATGGCGTACAGACGGTGAACATACATAAATGGCAATTGTGAAGCTCTGAAGAGTTGCATGATTGGGGTGGCTAGCCTCCACTACGACTTCAGGGAAGGTAGCCTCGAACTTTTAGAATGATATATATATATATATTCACATGCAAGCAACAGAATACGTCGTTACCTGATTGCCCGTAATTAGTGACGACATGACACCTTGGTCATACCTGAATCGCAAAATAAGTAGATTTCGATTGCGAATTTGCGAGTTACTTCTCAACGCACCCAAGGAGTGTAAATCCAGTTCCTGCTACAAACGCCACTGCAGCCGTTAGCTTGCGACCACGCAACGATGGCGCATGGATAGCAATATCTGCTGGGTCCAAGTCGAATTGTTGATTTATCTGTTCTTGGACAGCATCAGTCTTTTCTGCGATAGATGGCCAATATTTCTCCTGATCAGTTGGAGGAAGAGACATAGTACTGTGTAGGTATCTATTCTTGTCGTTGAAGAACGAGATTTATATACTCGGGTGGCTTGCCTTCGAATCTGACAAATGGGAGCCTATCTCCACGTCTAGTACTGATGCGACCTCGGGACTTCTGACCATCAAGTGGGGATCAGGATGCAGCTGCGGAGATCAAAATGGTTCTGCCGTTCATGATGGGAGATAAGGTCAACTATCGAATTGTACGGTTCGGATTCTGTGATGCAGAGCGGTGATGACGTCCTGAAAATTCAAGTATTTTCTATAAGAAGCTCCTAGTTCAGTTGAACATTATGGCTCGTGACACGTTTCTTGCATTAAAAAAATAGACCGGTGAGTTGCTTGAATATAGCGCTGGAACCTATCTGGTGAGATGTGATGAAAGTGTGAAACTTAAAGATGTTACTAAGGGCGGCCAGCATTAAAGTTCCGAGGCTCTCGGCGGATCAAAGACACGAGGCAGACGAGAAGTCTTCAATGTACGCGCAAGCTACAATGACGTGGTTAGAAGATAAAAAGGGTTTGATGGTGATCAACTGGATCAGCATGAGAGTAGGCACAGAAGTACTGACAGTTTACAACAGATAAATTGCTAAATGCTTACCCCGATCTCATGATTGGCACGGTTCACTCTCACAGAATGTCGGCAGGAGAGCCCGCGGTGCCAGACGGAGACAACAATCTCGACGCTGGACCCTGGTAGATATCAACCGGACTGTGATTCGTCGTTGAACCAGTTCAGAAGCAAAGAAGAGTGAAGAATTTGAAAGTGATATTCATTTGCGATTGGGTACCGCCGGACTTTGCCGGGGGACGCTCGAGACGGGTCACAGCAGGACAATGTTTACTCCCTATAGTTCGGTACCAGCAATCTGGAACATAACTTGTAATTTTCATGCCCTCTAGTCCACCAGTAACAATGCCAAATTTAACAAGTGCGTTTACCGTATGACGATTTACGCAAAGTGATGCTATACCCATGATGGGGACGCTCGAACTTCGTGGTGATATGTGCCTTACAAGGTGGCAGCCATCGGAGATGGTGACACGTATGTTGTTGTGGTCATCGTTGTAACTGGAGGTGGTCACAGTACGTTTAAGGTCAGTACCTTTCTGCAGGCGTTCGGATGATCAACCTAGGATTATTTTGCATTTCTGCAGCAACTTGGCCGAGGAGTTAAAACTGAAAGCATGGAAGCAGGGCTTCTCTGGATCGGCGGATCTTTTACAATCCCTCAACTGCCACCTATTCCCTTTTACATATCTAACTTAGGTGCGTTCACCTCATCATGCTTCATCACCATACCGCAAGTCCTTACCCTTCAGAACGCTCTTCAACGTCCTTGATCACCTTATGTGTCTGTACATGTCGAACAAACATGGTTTTGGGCGTGCGTGAACTCTTCGCTCAGTCCCTTCGTGACATCGGTGTCCCGTGCAAAATCATGGTATGCGAAACCAAAGGACTTCACGAGATCAGCTATACCGGCGACCGCTGTGTGCGTGGCAATTGGAGGATGGCAAAATAAATTTGCACCCAGAACTTTTCGGACTGAGCGTTTATCCACCCCACGTACAATGCAGGGACATAATGACATTTAAGGTACTCGTCAACTCAGGCAATGTCATTACCATAAATTGTATGCATTGGCGCTTCTCGGTCGTTGCAGGTGTAGCCTTGATCACACTGGCAGCATAAAAAACCAACGTCTCGTGCTGTCAAGGTACCAGAGGCTGAATAATCCGTATGCTTGCCACGATACTGGCATGAATGCTGAGTTTGAACTTAGGGATTAATATTTTGACGAGCAGCAGCTACAAAGCGCGTGAGCACAGAACTGACAAACAACAGAACGAACAACAGACCCGCGCTCCAACGTGATTGCACTATTTGTACACTCGCACTTTCGATGGTAAGAGTCCAGTCACCAACCTGTAGATCCAACTTATGGCACTAATGATCTAGATGAACTGTGGCCTCTTGTCAACCATTCTCCTGACATTGATGGCTATCGGTCTGCTTGGCGCACAAGCCATGCCCGGCTCAGGGACCGTGAATGGCTTGTCATGCACTTGGATTAAGTGTGGAAAAATGTGCCCAGGAGCTGTCGCAGACAGCCAAGGTTGCGTAGATTCGAAAGGTATCGTGGCGACTCAGTACTGCTGTGATTGATGGCCGCCGTAACGGGTGAGGTTGCAGTGTAGTGGCGTAGAGGCATAGAGGTGTGGGGCAAGTATTGTGATACAAATGAGGAATCCAGAAATGTCAGCGATCAGATATTTCATCAGAATTGCAACTATCAGAGATCGGGATATGAAAGAACGTACTATTCGATCCAAGCAGCGAGTGAGAATGAAATGCGCAGCAGGTTCGGAGCTCAACTTGAAGTAGGAAGGGTTCAACCGACCGGCCATCTCGTGGCGCTCGAACTTTGCAATTGTGTTGTACTAACTAGATATCAAGTGTCTCGATCCACTGGTCACGCGCCCGTAAAATTAACCCGGTGTGCACTGTGCACTGTGTTTCCGAGCATACTTTCTTCAAGCTGAAGCGCTGACGACTTGGTCCAGTCTCGACGAAGATCTCCTGTATTGATGGCCACCAAATATACATAACTTGAATAAAGTGCAAGTACTTGCTTCTCCCCCTAGCCTAGTTCATTCAATTTGCGACCACACGATTCTGCAAGTTAAGCTCGCTCGCATCCCAATATGATTGAATCGTAAACAGCTTACTGTTAGGTCTCAATGCAGCAATCGCATCTACACCTGTTTTCTGGCTTTTCCCGATGAAGAGGATGGCGTGGGAGGTTTTTCCGAAGGGCGTGGGCTAACTCCAAGAATCTCATCCGCCTCTCGCGTTCCAGCAAGTGGGACATCTTTCCGAAGCGAAACCTTGACAGGATCTTCGCCGGTCATGTACGCCAACGCAAAAACAACGTCAAGATCTTGCAGGGTAGAATTAACCAGGGGTCAGTCTTAGACAGAAGACAGTGTAAAATGTACCTTCTAAAGACCGACCACCGGTTTCGGGGAAGAAAAAGTAAACAACTGGAACGATGATCGCGTTCAGGGCTGCGAAGACAATATAGGTTCGCCAGGAAATATTGTTGAAAGCTGGGCCAACGACCATCACCACGACAAAGTTGAAAGTCCAGTTTGACGCTTGGGAAAGAAGGTGAGTAGATCTGTCTCCATGTCTCGGCGTAAGAGATTGACAAACCCGTGCTTAGCGCATTTGTCGGCGCTCGAGTTCTGAGCCCAGCAATCTCAGCGCACTGGAACATCAGAGATGAAAAGATCGGATCAGCGAAAAAGATCAAAGCAGTCGTTGGTAACTCACATATAACCAAGCTACTCCAAGCCAGCCAAAAGCAAAGAACGTGTTGAAGCCGAATATAAGAACTACGCTCACTATCTGCGCGGGGGTATTATTGATATATCCTAAGATAGCCAAGAGCAGCATCACGATGGATTGACCAATAGCTCCAAATAGCATGAGGTGACGCCTGCCCACATAATCTATAGTATAATAAGCAGCAATAGAAGCAAGGATATACTCTGCGCCGTTAGCTACTGAGGTGATCCGCGCGTTGACCTCGGAGAGACCAAGACGCTGGAATACAATAGTCTGTGTGATTTCAGTATTGCCTCAGCAGACCGTGTGGCCGCATGACATACAGCATAACTGTTGACAACAATGCATTTTTAGATTACAACAGATCGCATCCGAGTTGGAGGAATGAGATACCCACAAGGTAACGAGATTGATGCCGGTCAGCTGCTGCATCATCATAAATACCACAGCAATGACCGTTCGTCTAAAGTTCTGGCTGGGACCCCCGGTAGTGAGTTCACGTAGTGAACCTTGACTAGATGCTTCGACAGCAACAGCTTCACGAATGCCGTAGTAAGTGCGCTGAACTTCTGGATCAGAGAGAGGTTTATCTTCCATTGCGGATATAACGGCCATCGCTTCTGCATTGCGACCACGCTTTACCAACCTGGGTTTCTGATCAGTTTCACGAGAATCATGGAGGACGACGAGAACTCACCACCTCGGTGACTCAGGTAGCTTGCGTAGTGTACCAAATCGAATAAGTTAGTACACAGTCTGCGGAAAAGCAAACTCACGAATCCGATGCATGTCACCATAATGATTTCGAACACCAACTGCAGCGCTATCGGAACTCTCCACTGAGCAGACGACCAATTTACGAAAAATCTGATTTGATCGTTGTCATTGGCTTAGCTGCAGATAAAACTGAAACATACAGCGCCAAATCAACCAACTAAAGAATGTTGTCAACAAAAATGACCCAATAAAATAACGATCCACACACATAGCTGCAAGCCAGTCGTCAATTTCAAAAATATTGATGTAAAGCACACTCACGCGATGGTCACTCCAACCACGATCAATGTCCCCTCCATCATGATCCTAGGAAAAATCTGTATCTTTTCATTAAAGTGCTCTTAATAACGTACATTCGGCCCCTCTTTGCGGAAGGGGAGAGTTCCGCATGATATGTGGGCACTGTCGATGTCTACAAACTTGTTTTCAGTAGGACGTTGAACATGAGTAGGCACATCACTGACTATCAGACCGTTTCCGTAGCCTGTAAAGATACGAGCAAAAATCAACTGTGCAAAAGAAAACGCAGTAGTTTGCAGAATTGCCCCTGTAGGGAATTCAGCCGATGCTCTAAACGGGTCACAAACAGCTCGGCTACCAACTATCATTATACTGCCTCCTACAACAATTGTCTTTCGACGACCGAGCTTATCTCCCACCCAAAGATTGGACAGGGCGCCAAAGAGACAGCCTACTTCCTGCACGTTATGAGCACCAAAGATGAAGTAGAAAAGGTGACAACATACGTAAATGGCAATTATGAAGCTCTGAAGAGTGGCGTGATTGGGGTGACTGGGCTCCACTATGACTTCAGGGAAGGAACCCTCAAACTGGTACAATAAGATATGGACATTTCCATGCGAGGTTTGATAGAACACATGTTACCTGATTACCCGTAAGCAGTGACGACATGACACCTTGATCATATCTGAATCGCAAAATTACGAGAATTGTTGATTATAGTTACTTCCCAACGCACCCAAAGAGTGTGAACCCAGTTCCTGCTACAAATGCCACTGCAGCTGTTAGCTTACGACCACGCAGTGAGGGAGTATGAGCAGCGATATCTGCCGGATCGAATCCAAATTGTTGTTTGAACTGCTCATGGTGATGATCAGTGTTTTCTGCGACAGACGACTTATGTTTCTCCTCGTCAGATGAAGGGAGAGACATGGTGTTGGGTGTGTATTGACTTGTTTTTCAGAGGACGATAGTTAAATACCTCGGCTTCCAAGTTTAATCCTGATATGGGCCGCCAGAGAACCTGTGAGAAGAAATTATTGTCATATATCTCCATGATCACAGGTCGGGTTTTATCACGCAGATCGACGTCCTGAGGAATGGGAGTGTTTTCTATAAGAACTCCCGGCCACGCAATATCGTGGCTCGTGACACGTTCGTTGGACAAAAATAGATTGGTGAAAATGGACTTGGATGCAACTGCCGATAACTTGTTCGACGACGCATCATGAAGGTGTGAAAGCGGGGAATAATATTGGCGATCAGCGACAGGCTCACGAGGTCCTCGGTAATTCGAAGATACGATGTAGAAGGGAGTTCTGAATTACACGCAGGCTATTCGATAGCAATGGTGTGATTAAATGTAATGAGGCTTGACGGCAATCAGCTGGATCGGTGGAGGGGTTACAGTGGATCGGCCTTGCTTGGCCCTGATCGTAGGGACCAAGTTCGAATCACCTGACGAATCCTGGGAGGAGAACCTGCGTCCCATACCGAGAAGCAATATCTACGCTTGTAAGCGAATTAGGCTGCCAAGTTTTGGTAGCTACGCAAAGTGCCGTCGGCCCTTGCCGGAGGTTCGGCGGCACCGTCCGACAGTACTAGTCTAATGATCATCCCGAGTTGATCCCGAGATCATTCATGAGCATCGGCGAATCATATGAACGAACCCCCGCAACCTTTTCATGTCCTTTCGCCTGCCATCGGATACAGCATTTGTTTTCCAAGACATTTCCAATAAGCACACGAGGATCTGCGGCCATTGAAGGTTACCACAGGTTCAAGTTGTTATAGATGATGAGCAAAGGGTGTACTAGGATGGGGCCGACGTTTCATCGGCATACCCGACTACCCGTCGACCGAGAAACCCATCTTGGTTGATTAATCATCACTTGTTCAGTAGTCAGCGCCGCCACAACCGTCAATACCATTACTCTTGCCTGAAAGGTCGTTATTTCTAAATTCCGATTTCTACATTTACGCCCATGGCAAGAGACATCGACTAACGTTCTAAGGCCAGCGGCGCTAGTAACACTAGTTCCACGGAAATGATTCAAATCGAGTCACCCGTTTTTCGAAAAGAATCCCTTTTATTATACTTTTGGGGTCATCAGCCATGCTTCTTCCGCCAGTGGGCGAGCCCGATTGTCCGTGATTCTTAGAATTTTAGAATGCGTCGGCAATTATGCTCCCATCGCTGACCTATTTCGGACCTGCGGGTGATCAGACATCACAATAGCCCATTCCGACAACTCATCTCGCCAAACTATTACGGGTACAGGCGTACAAGGTGGGGTTTATTCTCAAACGATTAGACATAACGGCACGTTCATATATAATAGGACTCTCGGTTATCTGTTAATCGAAGTGAGTCGATCGTGGAAGTGAGATGGATCGCTGACATACTCCCTTCCAAGGTCCAAATTTGAATAAAGTTGAGTTCTGTCCTCCCACCGGGGTTAAGATCAATCTACCTGTTCTCTTCGTGTTATTGGTATGTTGCATTGTGGCGTTTCCCTATCCACTTTGTTCTGTAGCTTGGCAGCCTCGTGTTTGTAGGTATCCTTGGACACCGCAGTCCGATCTCAAGATCCCCGCATTGTCAAAACAAAGCTTATCCTTGACCACAGCTGTGTATCTTCCATATAAAATCCCTTTCGTCTGTCAATTTTCTTCAGCCTCTATCCTCGACAATCATGTCATACTTTACTCCCGCTGCAAACTCCAATCTTGCCAACAAACGTGGACAATCTCAGGCCACTTCGCATTACACATCTTCCTCGGTTCCCTCGTCCAGTGGCGGGGGCACGCAGCCGCCTCCACCGACGAGATATATCCCTCCCCCTGTCGGTGCCATGCAATCATCCGGCCAAACAGTGCTTAATTGCCCGCACTGTACTGAAATTCTCCCACCCGGCCTTGATCTCGCCACTCATCTTGTTGGATGTGGCGTAGCAGAGCTTCTCACCAAGGCCTATACGCCCTTTGATTATCCCTTCCGGCCGAAACACACCGGAGGTCAGCCCCCCAATTCCCAACCTTCTCCGCCGAATTATAGCGGCAGATCAGGTTCGCGCAGATGATTGTAGCGTGAGTAGTATCTTTTGTCTGCGCATTGACGCTCATCCTATGGTTAGCTTCAGAAGCTGTCCGAACGTGTCACCGCTTTGTACTTTAAACCATCACGAGTGCTGTGCTTTTTTTTGCCACACTAGACGCCGTATGAAATGCATGTTGGCTGATCTTTATCAGACAAATTTTGGCACTGCCTCGCTATTGCATACGCTTTCCCATACACCTTATTGTCTCTGATACTGCTTTGGTTTTGATTGATTGTTTTACCGTTTGTAGCTTACCTGACTTGATATCGGATTGGTGTATCACTTCTTTCTGGTGTAACTTGTTTCTGACGTGCCTGACTAGACAATCCAATAATAATTTGCATGATCTTCCTTTACAATTTACCTACTTACACGTAAGGCACAAAAGAATGTGAACGAGTAGGTCAATAGTGATACAACGTCTATACCGCATAACTCCCTGCGGAAGGATCGTGATAAAAGAGCGGAGGTATCATTATGAGAGCCCAAAACAAGCACACAATGTCATTCAGCTATTGGTAGCCACCATCACCACAGTATTGTCCTTCTCCTTCTCCCGTGACAGTTCGTTGGAGCTACGGGGACTAGAATTCAGCACGCCATCAAGGTTTGTAAGACCGAGACCCGTGACAGCTGACAGCACGCCACCCTCAGACGGGCGATCTCCGTCGGGACGCCCACGCCCCTCTCCCGCGAAGCGCGCTCTCCCTCTTGACAGATGTCCTGCCCGTCTCCCTCGGTCCTCCCGCTCACGGTCAGCAGAAGCCCGGTGTGCTTGCGTCGATTCACCCGTGCCCAGTAACCGCATTTCAGCTTCTACATCCCGCGTGCGTCCGTAGTTATGCAGTGTGTTGACGATCAGCACAAAGTCGATCAGCCCGACTATGAATAGTGCCGTGATGGCGATGCGCGGGCCCAATACGGCGGTTGGGGAGAGCGGTGCGGGGCTGGTATTATCTGTTGAAGAATCAGAGCGCCACACAAAGGAGAGGATAGCGGCTATGAAGAAACACATAGACCTATCAGGCACAGGTGAGTGTGAGAGCGTGATAGGAACGGGAAGGACAAACCAGGCAAGCCATACAGCAGGCATTGCTAATAGTACCCACACATTCCACCAAATGAATGTTGTTGTTTTACGTGCTTCCTGTGGGGTTGCTGTGAGCGTGCGTGAAGGAACGGCAGTGCCATGCGCCACGTACCTCAGCCCAACGGGTGGCTTTGTACATACTTCTCATGGTGCCAAAGCGGACAATGTAGATACAGCCGAAAAATAGGCTCATCAATGCAGATGTCAGCGAAAGTAGCGCTGCTGTGCGGATCACAGGATCCTGAGCCATCATAGTATTCTGAAACATGGATAATATGGCACTGCGGGAGGAGCATTTAACAACTTCCAAACGTGAAACAACAGTAGTAACTTACGAAAGCAATAAAGCGGAGACCAGGTTTAGCGTCTTCCACTCTCGGAGTAGGGAGTCAATGAACGCCTCCCAGGAATGCTTGAATCTGATGAGAGCTGGGGAGACGTTTGCGATGGTCCATTCATCTGCTAAAGGAAGAGCAGGCTGTGGGTGGTAGTGAGCCCCTGGCGGTATGGGGCTGGAGGTGGGGTTCGGCACTTGGGAGGCACAGGCTTCAATCAATCGTTCAATATCTGGGCGACTGAGCTCTGCATCTTGATAAATACGAGCGATGCGTGAAAAATAAAGAGAGGGAAGGCGAAGCAGTAAGTGCAGATATATTTGTCGGGGGAGAGTATCCATCAAAAAGTCACGAGAGGAGCGGAGGAATTTCCGTGAAGCCTTTAAGGGGATACATGTTACTGGACGGGGTAGACATTGCTTGAGCGCGTCCTCGCAGTTGGGATCAAAGCTTTCATCATTGTTGCGATCAGGGCTGCCGATAGAAAATCTGCGCAATGGGTTTCGCCTTTGGAAGGGGTTCTGAGGGACGAATGGCTCTTCGCGTGTTTCCCTACGACGAAAGGCAGGCCATGCAAATATACGCATGGGAGATGCAGCCCGAGAGTGTGACGCGGAAGGAGATTCGTAGCTACCCTTCCTGGATGTCTGAGCCTCTGCGCGCATGGCTGAGGATGGCATGGCTGAGGATGGTCGAGGGGGGTCGCTTGGGCGGCGAAATCGGGATAATGTTGACTCGATAAGCGGTGACCTTGGCGGAGCGCCACCGTCGCGAAGTAAGGGGTGGTGTACATTATTCCCTGGACGAGACATATTGCTGGGAGGGGGTGGTATGCGAGAAATGCCGCTCTCGAAAGAGACGCGTTGAAATGGACTACCCTTGTTGATAGCACCTTCTGAGGCGGTTGCCCTGGACATGTCAGGGGTGGAAGTATTAGGATGATGCGTGAAACCCTCCAAGGAAGGAGCCGATTGTGAAGTTTGAATGGCCTGACGTTCCATACTGCTTAAGACACGAGGACGCGACAAAGGAGAGTCGGGGAGTGCGGATAGCTTGTCTGAGCTAGTAAGCTCTGAATCACTACTAGATCTTGCGACTAGAATTTCGGATAAAAGGGGACTCTGGATCGGTTGAAAGGACAAAGGCGCACCATGAGATGGGAATGACTCGGCTCGGGTATTAGATGACAGCGCGTGCTGAGTGGTTGCTCCCTCAGATAACGAAGCTTGATCTTCAGGGTATGCAAAGGTGTGATTCATTAAGTTAAAAAAACGGAAGTCGTACAGGTCGTGAATACGTGACAGAGAGAGAGATATGGGAGAAATTAACTAGAGGGCACTTCTGCGGACCAGCGCTTTAAATATCATGGGTTAGCTTGCTGCCGTAAACTCGCCTCGAAGGGCCTGCTTGACAATGACAGTGGAAACGAATACGTGCTCCTTTTTTGGATTGCTTTGATCAGCATGAAAGGTAAGTCCGGTCACAGGTGTGACAAGGTCACGGGATGCGTTTACGTCATGAGCCTTCAGCAAGTTTGAAGTGGATGCAGCAACATTAACGACGACGAAATCTGAGCACTTCTTCCCTTGGAACTTCCACCACGTCTTCTCAACCACTTCAACTAAAAGTCCTCATCTACCCTTATTTTTTCCTTTTTTTCTGCTCAGATTTCGTGGATTTCTGCGTGGATCTCTGAGACTACCAAGATAGAACATAATCTATGGTTTTCAAGTAGAGAAACTTGGTCGTTTGGAGAGGATTGGCTAATTGAAGGGGAGGGGGAAATGGGAGGACACCAACTTCGGAGCCAACATGGTCACCACGCGCCATCAAATACAAACAAAGCCAAACAATCAATAGCAGGCAATAGCCACCTGCAAACAAAGGTGGTGTCAGTGCTTCTGCCAACGTCCTTGCTTGTTTCATCCATTTTTCATCTAAAAATCATTCAAGAAATAATCAGCGAGTCATCTTAGACGTAAAGTTCCTCTTGCGCACTCCTATTGCGCTCTTTTTCGCGATTTTGCGCTGTGACTTTGGTCTATGCAAGATCCCGATTCACCACTTCCTCAGCAGGACTTTCATTCAGCAGAATCATCTGAACCGCTCCCCTTACCATCGTCCAACGAAGAGCAACCGCCATTGAAGATCAAACTTAAGATCCCTCCAACTATTAAGCTACCACCACCGCCACCACCGCCGCCGCCGCCGCCGACCCAAATGACTCAAGGTATCGATGGTCCGCGCCGTTCAAGCAGAAACCGCACATTCTCCCAATCCAGTTCAGAGTACTTCGAAAGTGAAAAGTCTGTGATGGATGAGGACGACCACCCACCAGTATCTGCGGAATCACCAGAGTCTCCTCCCCCCGCTACCTTCGTCAAGTCCCAGAGAGGTCGCACAGTCAAGCTAGCCCAGTATCGCGAGTCGAGCGATGACGAGCTCAACAAGATATTTCGAGATGATGAAGATGTCGAACTCGTCAATTCCCATATTGACGCGATGGACGGTGATGATGAAGATGATGATCAGCCACGTCGAAAAACGCGCTCTTCCAGTAAACGTAGTTCCATTAATGACGACACGACAAGCAGCCGTCGTGTCCTTCGCAATAGGAACAAGAATCCCCCTCCTCCTCCTACAACCTCTAGTGGACGCGTCACTCGTCAACCTAAGCGCTATGAGCCTAGTAACAACCCTGCCAAGAGATTAACGCGTGCTCAAAGTAAAGCTGCTGCTGAAATGGATGATGGCTATATCGACGAGCCATCGGACGGCTCAGCTGATGCAGATGGCTCTCTTGATGACGCACCACGCACATCCTCAGATATCGACCTCGATGCCGAAGGCGAGGTGGATTTGGATGGCGAGGTCGAACATGGGGATATGCAGGACAATGGCCGACCGTATTCACTACGACAACGTGTCCCAATCAATTATGCTATCCCACCAGCGCTGGAGGAGATGAAACAAGCCAAACCGCGTCCAGCTGGCGGGCGAGGTGGCGGCAATCGAAGGCGTGGACCAGGGTGGAGTGCCTCTGGTGCTGAACTGAGCAGATGGATGGGCATGGCCCCTGCCGATGACTCGGTGCGTCATCATACCTGTTTGCCACATGTAGCAGTCAGCTGACGCACGTTCATGCCAGGATTCCGACTTCCCAACTCGAACACCCCGTAAACCTTTTGGAGGTGCCGGTGTTTTTGGTGCCGGAGGTCCTGTTTCGGCGGGTGGTGCTGGTTTACTACCAGGCGACCTTGCTGCCGCGGCTGGCACCCCTTCAAACCTGGGTAAAATTGGCGATGCAGGTGATTGCCGTTGTAGCTTGAAAATCATCTCCAGCTTATCTGTTCGCAGCATTGGCTGATGCAGACCCATTGGGAGTCAACACCAATGTCACTTTCGATGAAGTTGGTGGCTTAGATGATCGTGCGTGTTCTTCCATTTCGTTGCCATACTTTCTTGACTTCCTGTCTACAGACATACACTCTCTGAAGGAAATGACACTCCTTCCACTATTGTACCCAGAAGTTTTCCAGCGATTCAATCTAACGCCTCCTCGTGGAGTGCTATTCCATGGTCCTCCTGGTACAGGAAAAACCCTCCTCGCCCGTGCTCTGGCCGCGAGCTGTCGCGCTAATGGCAAGGGAGTTTGTAAGTTACAGTCTTTTTCGTCAGGACATCACTTCTCATGATCTGCCAGCCTTCTTCATGCGCAAGGGTGCTGACTGCCTGTCAAAATGGGTCGGTGAAGCTGAACGCCAACTTCGACTTCTGTTCGAAGAAGCACGCAATTGCCAACCGAGTATCATCTTCTTTGATGAAATTGATGGATTAGCACCCGTCCGGTCATCGAAGCAGGACCAGATCCACGCTTCGATTGTTTCTACGCTTCTAGCGCTGATGGACGGTATGGACGGACGTGGCCAGGTGATTGTCATAGGCGCCACCAACCGTCCAGATGCCATTGACCCTGCTTTACGAAGACCTGGTCGATTTGACAGAGAATTTTATTTTCCTCTTCCATCTCTCGAGGCTCGTGAGCGTATATTGACGATCATGACAAAGGACTGGGAGGGCTGGAAGGATGGAGAAGGTACTGAGAATATCAAGGGACTTACAAAGTTCACCAAGGGCTATGGTGGTGCTGATCTTCGAGTATGCGATTTTACAGCCATACGCGCTGGCCATCATACTCACTTATACTACAGGCCTTGTGCACCGAGGCGGCCTTGAACGCTATTCAGCGACGATATCCTCAGATATACCAGTCTAGTGACCGGCTACTCCTTAAGCCAGAGACTATCGGCGTGACATTCAGAGACTTTATGATCTCCATTAAAAGTATGTTTGTTTTTATGTAATACAGACAGTGTTAATCTGACATCTCATTTCTAGAGCTCGTCCCGTCATCTGCACGCTCGTCGTCCTCATCTGCTTCACCTCTTCCGACCCAGCTTGCACCTTTGCTTTCGGACACCTTAGAAAAGGTGAAAGATGCTATTAACAGGGTTCTTCCTGTTAGCAAGAAGCGTACTGCTTTGGAAGAAGCTATGTGGGAAGAGGATAGTGAGACAAATGCCCTTGACAGGGAACTGTTCATCCAATGTGAGTGCTGGCTGCTGGTTGGTCGGTGGAGTCGCTGATTGTTCCATAGCTATGGAGACCTTAAGGGTCTATCGACCACGACTGGTGCTCCATGGGCCTGCCGGTATGGGACAAGGCTATTTAGGGGCTGCGGCTCTCCATCACTTGGAGGGATATCATGTTCAGACTCTCGATCTGGGGACACTTATGGGGGACTCAACACGAGTAAGCTTGCCTCATCCTCCTGATGAATCTGTGCTCTTGATGGTTTTATCAGACTGTGGAAGCCGCAGTGGTCCAACTATTCGTCGAGGCTAAAAGACATCAGCCCTCGGTTATTTACCTTCCTTCCCTCGATGGGTGGTCAGCAGCGGTTTCCGAGACTGCACGATCCACTGTCAGATCCATGCTTGATTCGCTTGCGCCTACAGATCCCGTCCTCGTACTTGCCATTGTAGATGGTCCATTCTCCTCATTACCCCGTGACGTCCGTTCATGGTTCGGTATGATCCGCGAGAATCGCCTCACACTACCAAGTCCCACTGAAGCTCAACGGGACGCCTTCTTTTCGAGTATTATCGCTGACATCCGTCGACCGCCAAATCAGTTCGCAGATGGTATCAAGCGCCGAAAACGAATACTTGAGGAACTACCGATTGCGCCTCCGCTTGAGCCTCGTCAACCGACGGCTGCTGAACTTGCTGTTCAGGAAGAGAATGACCAACGTGTCATCACATTACTGAAGTATCGTCTCGGCCCTATACTAACAGAGCTGAAACGCAAGTTCAAACGATTTACCAAGAAAGCTAGGGTGAGTGTGATCACTGCGACTGCTGCGCACTCACCGATATTCTGTTTTAGGAGGAGTATGACTTCGATCCAACTCCTGCGGTTAATGAAGTGGAAATTATTGCCACCACCACTACTGTCACCATACAAGCCGAAAACGACGTCATCGAAGTCTGTGAGCAAGTCGCCCGGGAGCAGCCAAATGGCATCGTTAATGGCGTCCCCCCTGATCCTCAGCCAACCGAACATCCAGAACCTCCACAGCCACAAGAACCACGGCTATATGACATGGACCTCGAGAGGATGCACATTGACCTGTACAAGGGCAAGTACCTCACTCCACAAGATTTCCTGGAGGACATCAACAAGATCGTTTTCAACGCCGCGGCACGCTCACATCATGATCCTACTGGTGACAGGCTGTATAGGGCACAAGCTATGCTGACTGCTGCCGAAGTGAACATCCAAGATTTCGATGCTCAGTTTAAGCACGAGTGTCAACGGATGGCTGAGCGGGAGCGGAAGAGAAGGGAGGAGCACAAGAAAGCGAAAGAGAAGAGCAGGGTCGGAGAGGACACTCAGAACGGCGCAGCAGCGCCTCGCAGGAGTGCTCGCCACAATGGCCAGCAGCTGGATATCACTATCACGGATCCGTCACAATTGGAAAGGCGACTGAAAAGGGCACGTTCTGCTGAGCGTCAAAGCGGTTCCCCTGTATCAGGTGACGATAAAGCAGAAGCACCTAGCACTCCTCGGAACTCGAAACGTCAGCGGACGATAACGAGCGATGATGACCACGACCCGATGGACATAATTGGTGCATCTCGCGCTCAGAACAAATCTTCAGCTGTGCGTTTTGCAAATGACGTTCAGCCGCCTCCTG